ATATATATATATATATATATATGCATATTCTGAATATATGTTTTATTTCTGCTTTTTGACTCTATATCTAAATTATTCTACTACAACCATAAAGGGATTACTTATATATGATTATTAATATAAGTATTCATTTTTAAATTAAAAATAAGTATTCATTTGCTATGTGTTGCTCAGAGGTTCAGCAAAAATTGTATATGCAAATAACAAACATGGCATAAACACGCATTTCAAGTGAAGTTTTAGTGCCCTATTTTAAGGTCTAAACCGCATGGCACAGGTGCACTTAGGGCGTGTCCGAATCCACTTTTGCTAGTTTAACAGCGGGAAAAACAGTCGGCGCGCCCGGCGCTTGGTCTATAAGGGTTGTCCCTATTATCTTATTGAGTAATGGGTATGTTTTGGGCATAACGTGCAATAAACGAATCAGAGTCTCATCTCCTATTCCCTTTAAGAGCCAGTTGCGCTCACGCCATGGCGAATTTGCTATTTAAGTGGGATTTATACTTTCGCCTGGCTCCGCTCCGCGAGCCTCCGCTGACTGCGCGCGCACCTTCCCAAACGGATGACGCTTTTATACTTGTCTCGTTCGCCGTTGTACTATTCTTTGAAACGATAGGGGGCGACGAGGAGTAATTGTTCTCTAAAACCATCGGGAATCACCGGTGAGAAGTCATTTGCCGGTACAAGACTTCTCGTGTGATGAATGAGCTGATGAATTAATAATTTCTTTATGTACAAACTGAATAAAACAATCTTAAATTATTGGCTTTATTTCGCATCAAACACAAGACAACTTTAAGCAAATAGTGTATAAATAGTATCTAAATGAATTCTAATTCTATTTTTATTCAATAAAAACAAAACGTACTTCAAATAAAAAGCCTTGGACAAACAATGCAAAAAAAACTATGCATTGTTTTCCGTCAAAGCGTCAAAAAGCACCTGAGTTTGAGCTTCACATCAAACTGCTTCTGTTTCACACAAATGCCGGCACAGACGTGGATGTTCGGCTAGAATCGCTCTGAACTCGTGCATCTTCGGATGCGGAGCTGTGCGAAAAGTTACAAAAAATGCCGTGCACACCGCCACGCGAAATGAGTTCGCGCGTACTCAAAGCGAACTTCCGCCAACACCGCGATGACATCATATTTGCCTGCGAACCCAAGCAAACTTGCGTACTCGTCAAGTATAAATCAGCCTTTACACGGCAGAATTTGCGAGCACAAAGACAGAATGCGTCTCCTGAGAGGAAATGGATCTGCTTGTGCGCGAGCATATAGGTAGCCTAATTCTAATACATGCAATGACTATCCGTTATGACATGTAGGCATTTTTATATTTATGTAGCCTACACAATAATAATTTTTACATTGCAATCCTTTCATTTTTAATATTTGCGCATCCTTGTGTGTGTAAAAAAGCAGAGTGTACGCACGTTGTGCACCCGCCTATACTAAGGCAATCTTTAAATAACAAAAATAAATAAATACTGCGCCATTGACTTTAGACCAGGTTTTAGTTGGTCATTGGCACGGTCCATTTCAGTTGCCTCAAAATATCAACAATGCACCCGAACACACCTCGTTTTCAGACCAGCACACCCATGAGCGCAAAAATGGGCGCAAATGCATTTGCTATTTAAACAGCGTGGCGCAGGACCTGAAACTGCGTCGGGCTGAAACTAGCAAAAAACACTTGCGTCGCACCTGGCGCCGTATTGCGCAGGGTGTATGATAGAGCCCATAGTCTTAAAATTGATTAGTTAGTTTTTAATACTAAAGCAGTAGCTATATTTGTTAAAATGAAGACAAAATGGCTCAGTAAAGGATACTTTGTTACTTTGTTCTGAGAAAAGTTTTAGCATTATTATTGTTTTAATCTGATGCCACTGGTTTGCTTTAATGACCTGCTAAACACTGTATACATTTGTTAATTATTATTAAGCTGTTGTGTTCATCAAATGTATCATTACACCGTCCCATGATATTGCTATAGACCAGGGGTGGCTCCTGGAGAGCCGCAGTCCTGCAGAGTTCAGCTCCAACCCTAATAAAAACTCACCTGCCTGTAGCTTCCTAGTAACCCTTCAGACCTTGATTAGCTTGTTCAGGTGTGTTTGATTAGGGTTGAAGCAAAACTCTGCAGAGCTGCGTCTCTCCAGGACCGACGTTCGCCACTCCTGCTATAGACATATTGTACGTGCAGGATCACAGTTTTATTAGATGATCCAGGTCTTTGGGTTTTTTTCCTTTAAGCTAGGGGGGGGGGGGTGTCTTAAATCAACACTCATTTTCTTCTGCATACTGACATTGTGCATAATCCTTTGTACACTTGTGTTTCAAAGCAACAAATGCAGCTATAAATGAACACTGAAGGAGAAAATGCTCTATATAGAATATATGAAAGCCTAGTTTGAGCCTTATTGCACTAAATGCAGTGCATGAAAGCATACAAGGGCACGCATTTCTACGCAGCCATTAGAGGTCACACATTGCCTTACAAAAACAGCTTTAAGGAAAAATTCAAAGTTTGTCTTAAAACAATATCTGTCTATCTATGATTTTATTTGGCTTTAGTGCAATTATTAAAATTTGGCAAAACACAAATGTGCCTGAAATGCTGTCTAAGTAGTCGTTTCATTAGGTTTTGGGACATAGCTGTTGTCCAATGACAGATACAAGTGGCATTAGTAGTCATAGTGCATCTTTCATCATCAACTTCTCTCTCTTTTGCTCTATGAGTCATCTTCTGGTGGCTATAGAATGAGAAGGCCAAGTCTGCGTAACACTTTAGGACCCCATTAGAAAGAGAACCATTGTGTTTGCCTGAATGACAAAGCTGTGTCCCCAGCACCCTGGATGCTGTCCAGCATTTGCTGAATGAATGGCCATACGTTAACAGTGGAGCAGTAGAGAGTTTTTGTCCTGATGTACTCTAGGGGGATATGATAGAATGTACATTCTATAAAACATGAAATAATTGATTATTATCCAGACAAAGTTAGATTAGATGTGTTAGAGTCCAGTACACCAATGGGATTGTTGAAATTTACATAATTTATGTAATAGCAGAATCCTCTCTAGATCTTACACTGCTAGCCAAAAGTTTGGAATAATTCAGATTTCTTTTAACAGGGTTGCCGTGGGGTCTTAAAAAGTCTTAAAATTTAGTTGTATCAAATTTAAGGCCTTAAAAAGTCTTAATCTTAATTATTATTTCAAGAGGTCTTAAATTTGGGGACGATAAGACTGGAATTGCGATATGGCTGAATGTGACGATTAAACTTCAAAAGGCTATGATTTCATTAAATAAACAAGCGCTGCGCGTTCAGCGTCCGGTGCGGTGCTGCTTTGTTTTCTGCCGTTACCGGGAAAACAGTTATATTTCTACCAAACGTTCCACCTGCTGGCAGAGAATGAATTAGCATTTTCAATAAAACTGTTGTTTTGTTCAGTTCAGACCAATGCGAAAATCAACCCATGTTTTTACCCTGCAAACACGCAGAGCTTTAAATGTGAACTGGCGGATCGATAAGAAGACAATGCATTATAAAAATCTAAACATAGGGGTGTGCGATATGTATAGTCTGCGATAATATCGTAATTGACGATGTGCGATTTGATATTATGAGTATATTGCGAAAAGCAAACACAAAACACACTACAGAGTGCACGTATACATTAGGTGATGAAGTCTAGTAGGTTAGACTAATGTGTACGCGCATTTAGAGCGCATTCATTCACTGCATGAATCAGTCTATTAAAAAGCATTAAGAATTATAACTTAATTTAAGATATGAGGCAGAAAATGTATATATTTAAATCATTTTATATAGTTAATATCACACTGAGAGTGCCGTTTTTTTCTCCAGAAGTAGGCATGATTACAAATGTGATATTGATTTTATACTACAGTTCCATAAACAAGTAGTTAATATTAAAAGACTTACATTTTAGACACCATATTTCCTGATTTTGCTCTATTTCTCCAACAAAAATCATTTCAAACACAGCATTAAGTATTTAATGTCCCTCAGAGCTGCATTAAACAGTGTGTAAATGCATCTAAATGCCACTTCTAATTCAGCTTCTGTGCTTCCTCTGCATTGCAAAGATACATTTTGTTGATACTGATTTAATTTTCTTGGCAACAGCCCAAATGCAAGAATTTGACTCAAAAGATGGTGCACACTTTTAGAAAAAATGGCTTAAAGGTAAAAATGCCCATAAAACTAGTTGGAAATTATTAATTTCTATTACTTCTGTGAACTGACCAAACAAAATTTGAAGAATATCAAAAAATTCAGGAGTCAGCTGTCCACAGTAGTCCTTAAGATATCAGCACACTAACACACTCAGCAAAATATTGTTTAATTATCCTTATCGATAAAACCTCCGAAAATTATCGAGATATAATTTTTTGTCAGTATCGCACACCCCTAATTTATTATTTAATTGATATAATAATTTATTGATAATAATTTTTTTAATTAATATAATGATACTTTTGACTTATCCATTTTCTTAACAATTGTTTAAAGGCTGAAATGTGAAGTTTATCATTTTATAAATCTTTGTTTTGGTGAAAACTTGTATCTGAACTGTAAATTATGCTTTTTTTCAGTCATTTTACATTACAGTTTTCACAAAATGTTAAGCAGCAAAAACTGTTTTCAAAATTTATAATAATTGGAAAAAGTTTCTTGAGCAGCAAATCAGCATATTAGAATGATTTCTGAAGAATCATGTGACACTGAAGACTGGAGTAATGATGTTGAAAATTCATCTTTATATCACGGGTATAAATTACATTTTAAAATGTTCAAATAGAAATGTATCAATTAAAAATTTTAAAATATTTCACAATATTTCAGTTTTACTGTATTTTTGATCAAATAAATGCAACCTTGGTGAGCACAATAGACTTCTTCAAAAACGGTAAAAGATCGTAATTATCCCAATGTTTGGCTAATTTTCGGTTGTCTCCCACTATCCTTGGGGAAATTCCAATATTGTTTTCCTGTCTTATTCAATTATAGACTGAAAAACATTGTCAAGATGTATAATATTATATGTAACCCTCTAACTCTAGTACTTTCTATTCTATTTTAATTCTACTTTATCTATTTATCTTGTTTTTTTATTTCGTGTACTGCGTTAGGCTAACCGAGACTTGTCATTTGCACTTACATATTGTTGGTCTTTTGTTAGTTTTGATTGCTTCTATTGTCCTCATTTGTAAGTCGCTTTGGATAAAAGCATCTGCTAAATGACTAAATGTAAATATAACATTACACTGAATGTGTGAATTGTAAACGTGATCACGATATCTCTTCCAAAAGCAGTGTTTGTTTTTTCACTGCCCTGGATTGCCTGCAGTGAGAGAAATGTCAAGACTTGATCAATGTTGTGTTAGCACTTGGGTTGCAATTTCTTTCAGTCTTGACAGATAACTTGATTTCATTCTCATCTGGTTATTTAGATAGAGAAGATGTCAGAGTGTTTGGGATCTAAAGTCTCAACCACCTGTGGTAGAGGGGAAAGATCATGGAAACCGACCGCTGGGAACATTTCACGACGACCATCAATTCCCCCGAAAACAAAAAGTGATTCAAATAAGACATGCCAGCTTGAGAAATATAAGACGCATGAGCGTCTATTGAGAATTGGCTGACACTTGGAGCTCCTCTTGCTCAAATAGTTACTTTACCCCCAACAAGGAGCTCTAAGGTAACAGAATTACAGGCTGCCAAACTCAATGTGCCGTCTTTGTGTGCATACTGAATTGCTCCTGAATTGTTTTGTCAAATCAAATCAGGCCTGTCAAACACCAAAAACACTGTCTTGCTGGCAGGAGGAGAGTAAATACGGTTCATGACACACATTCTTGACTTTTACTGTGTTCACAGGTTGAGTCTGTGAGATACTTGTGATATTTACTTTGCACACTCTCAGAAGACAAATTTAGCCAGGTCAAATTTAAACCTGTGGAATATTTTATGCATAGGTTGGTTTTGTCTTCCTTAAAAGGAACAGTTCATCCAAATATAAAAAATAAGTTATTTACCTATGCTCATATACAGTATATTTAAAGCAGAAAATGCAAGTTGCTCGTACAGTGAAAGAGAAAGGTGGCCACGACTGTCAGGCAAGATTTGAATGAAAAATGAGTTACATTTTAGTCCATCCTCACACAAAAATATAATTTCATAAGACTCTAAATAGAGTGAATGTATGTATTCACTCTATTTTGTGTATATATGTAGTACTAATGATGCTTTTTTTCAGTGTTGTTTAATATTATTTGTATGCTATTATAGCATTAATTAATATTTTGAATTAGCTTTAATTTTTATATTTCAGTTTTCACTTTCATTTTAATTAAAATTTTAATAATTTTATTATGAGCTTTTGTCATTTTTATTACTTTTTATGTGTTAGAAAGTAGGTCATACAGGTTTGGATCGGAATGAGGTCAATTTCCATTGTTGTGTCACCGGTTCATGTAATATATCGCAGTAATTGCTAAAGGAAAATGTTTCTCCGCATCCCTCTTTAACTCGAGGTGTTTGTATCTGAAGACGTTGCAATTTTGATGCAATGCTGTTAATTTTTTCCTGGCCAAATCACTCGTGAGCTAATTGAATTCCTATAGACCTCACAAGAGATTTCTCCACACCTGTACTGAAGATACGTTAATTTCCCTAATTTCCTTTAGAGAACTTAGATTCTATTAAAACAGTCTAAAGTTCTTAATGTGAACCAGTTAAAGTTAAGAGACCCCTGTTGTGTTAATCTGTAGCACTCACTTGGGTAAGAATCACTAAAACTGTACAATACTTAAGGCTAGATATTTGAACTAACCCCTAACACTAGGTATTAAACTTCTGCATGTCTTGTTTGTTACTGTGCATTAATTTAGAGCATGTAACTTGATAACACTCAGCCTCTACTGTAAGACTTTATGGTAGAGGTCAGAGGTCACATTAACTGCTTTATCTGTTTCTTTATACAGCTCTTCGTTCAATTCAGCGAGCTGCTCACTCTTCTGTCTGTGCTATCTGAGGTCACCGATCTTTCACTGAGCTGTTGGGATTGACACTGTGCTGTCACTAACACATAGCCTATACAATACTGTGCGACGCAGTAACAGTCCAGACTTTCTGTTGCCAGGTTACTGGCTGTTTTTGCCGCATCGTGTAGCGGTGCATCAGAGTTAAGAGAGGCCACGCTGAACAGAATGGTGGCCACATAGTCGGTAGATTTATGATCTCTGCAGTAAAGCCCTTTACCTGTCCTTGAGTGCTGGATCTGCAGTACAGGATCACAGCCGTGCTGAAATCTCCCCGTACTCAAGTATTATCGCTGTGACGCTTTTTAATAACAATCTGCTATTGTTATTGTGCTTCAGCACACATCATCCTGGTATTAAAATGTTTTTTTTTTTTGTAGAGAAAGTCACATTTTAAGGAATGTGATACCATATTGCATTTACAGCATATGCATACAGAACAGCATATGCTATATATACACAACTGATGATGTGTTGCATTGGTGGAAACACCATAAGAAAAAGTCATTGGCAACATCATCTCAACAAAAGGCATCTTTCACCCTGGCTAAAGTTCACACAGAAACTGGGATCTGATGGACATTGGATAAGGTGTCTCACTGGCAACATCCATGAAAGATAAGTACACATCATGTACAACATAACATCTCATCAAAACGTCAAGGATCCCCACCCGATGACTGCAGTGAAGAGTTGTACCGTCTTCATCTATCCATCTTACCATGCTTGTCCTTTATCTCACTGTTCCCCAGTCACGCATAAAGCAATTGTAAATTCACAACTGATAATTGGATATGGAGGCAAGAAAAAAGGACATATCATTAGGCCATGATCCTGGATTCTTGTTGAACCAATATCAGAGCGTAACAATTGAGCATTTCGCTGTGTTCTCACAGACAAGGAAAACATTTTCTATGGTGCGGCTAACTGGTCCTGAATATTGGTACTATAACACCTAGTCCTATTATGCAAACTATATATATATATATATATATATATACACACACACAGTGGGTGCGGAAAGTATTCAGACCCCCTTAAATTGTTCACTCTTTGTTATATTGCTTTGTAAATATCGATTCTCATTCTCAACAAAGTCTCAGATTTCAAATTCTGTCCATTGTATTGCAGTATTTAGACAATAAATGCCGTTTTGGCACTGTTTAATTCTGTTTAATGTGGAGTGACAGATCGCTGTAGCGCCTCATTTCAACAGACACAGCAGCGCGAGGCGCACATGAACTGATCACCTCCTCCACATTAATACCAGTTTCAGCACAAAATAAACATGACTAAACATCCGAAGGTAAGTTAAAAGAAAGAGTACAACTTTACAATCCGTATCCTGTCTCATGTAATCGCTCAATAAGTGTTTCAGCCACGCAGAGAAGTCGTCTTGTAAACAATGTCACGTAACGTCAGAAAAACATATTTGGTGACCATAAACTCATTAGTCAGATAGAAAAATAAACTGTAGAGAGGGGCATTTTGCTAAATTCATTCATTATTCATTATAAGTTTTACTGTTCTTCAATGTTTAATTTGTTTCCGAAGGTAAGTTAAAAGAAAGAGTACAACTTTACAATCCGTATCCTGTCTCATGTAATCGCTCAATAAGTGTTTCAGCCACGCAGAGAAGTCGTCTTGTAAACAATGTCACGTAACGTCAGAAAAACATATTTGGTGACCATAAACTCATTAGTCAGATAGAAAAATAAACTGTAGAGAGGGGCATTTTGCTAAATTCATTCATTATTCATTATAAGTTTTACTGTTCTTCAATGTTTAATTTGTTTGAATAAATCCATCAAGATTTTATGACAGCCACCATTGTTTATATTTAAAAAAAAAAATTAAGTAGGAATATTATGTAATTGTAAATTTATTATTTTAAAAACTTAAGTGAAATTTTAACAAATCAGTTCATTTTAACCTTCAGTATTATAGTAATGTAGTACCAACTGACTCGTATATTTTACAGCATTAGTTGAGAGATTTTTTTCCTTGAGAAAATTTGGCATGTACTGTACTTGATATATATCCAAAATAATATATATTGAATCGAATCGAATTGGTAATCGAATCGAATCGCAAGCTTGTGAATGAGAATTGAATCGAATCGTGAAATTTGCCAAAACCCAGCCCTAATATATATATATATATATATATATATATATATATATATATATATATATATATATATATATATATATATATATATATATATATATATATATATATATATATATATATATATATATATATATATATATATATATATATATATATATATATAATGTATGTGTGTGTGTAACTATATAGATATATATATACTGTATATAAAATATATAAAAGTCAAGAAGTTAAAAATATATATGTAAGTGTTTCTATGGGAAGCGGTCATTATTCAGACATATCTGGACACTGAATGTTGTGACTGACCAATCAGAATCAAGTATTACATAGAAATCAATACATTAGCTTGACGACATGCTAGTTTTATGTTAGAAGTATTTATTAGAGCTCATTAGAGTGTTAGCATAATGATCAGTAGATTATACAACTTTGTATTGATGCATATTGCTTTGAATTTGATCAGTTTAACTGAACGCTCAGCCTTTTTTTCCTTTTTCACTTTTAACATATTTTTCTCAAAAGCTTGGGTTCAGTACGTTTTTATTTTATTCAGCAAGGATGCATTACATTGATCAAAAGTGACAGTAAAGACATGTATACTATTACAAAAGACTGCTGTTCTTTTAAACTTACTATTTATCAAAGAATCCTGAAAAAATGTATCACGGTTTCTACCAAAATATTATGCAGCACTGTTTTTAACATTGATAGTAATAAGAATTTTAAATAAATAATAAAATTCAGCTTTGCATCACAGGAATAAATGGCATTTTAAAACAAATGTAAATAGAAAACATATTTTAAATTGTAATAATATTTAACAACATTGCTGTTTTTACTGTATATTTAATTAAAGAAATGCAGCCTTGGTGAGCAGAAGAGACTCTTTCAAAACCCAGATAGAAATCGCTGTTCTAAATCATAGCAAAAACAATTCTATCATCTACATATTAGTAACATGTTGCAGTTGAGTGAACGCGCTAAAAATTACATCTTCCAGATGAAAATGCTACATCAAAATGGCAACTTGTTAGTGTTACATTTCGGGAGGATGTGAATTGCAGCATCTGGGAAGATAAACCACTGTGTACCTCTGCTGTATCTACTTCCTTTTTGAGTAGACACCGTTAGCAATGAAACGCCAGCTCTTATGCACTGGAAGAGAAAGAGCTGAAAAGATTCCTCACTTTTCTGAAAGTCTGTAATGAGCTGATACAGAATCAAGTGCTCCATGCTCACGACGTCAGCCAAATTATTTTTATTCAGCAAGCATGCATTAAATTGATCAAAATGGCAGTAAAGACTTTTGTGTGTGTATATATATATATATATATATATATGTATGTACACACAAACAAACACTTTTTTTAAATCAGAATTAAGCCATATAATGTGTTGATGTCATCTAATATCATCTATACACAGTATCCATATCACATAATACCTTGACTTTGTTTTCTGATATGTTTCAAAATTATAGACATATTGTATCACAAAAAAGGGAACAAATACGTTACAAGGACAACTTCAGTGAATGCCCTTCAGTATATCCTTGCTTTATTCTATCAAAGACAACAAGAAATAAAATTTGGCTCTATTTACTGCCTCAATTCATGCATGATTCATCAGCACTTTACGTTACACCTGAAAACTGTTTTCAACATTGATAATAATCAGAAATGTTCTTGAGAAGCAAATCAGCATATTAGAATGATTTTTGAAGGATCATGTGACACTGAAGAGATACCGATGAGAGACAATATATTTGATCATTTTCAGAACTTGTGTACCAAGTTTCACGTCAGGGACATGCTCACTATATCTGGGAACAGAGCATACAGTATATTCCCAGTAATTTCAGTGTTTTGTAATGCAAATATCCAGTTGAATCAGCTTTATCTCGTTTGCAACTTTAATGAGAATTTAACAGATCCGTTTGTAGGACACTTCATATTTTCTTATGTAATCGTGCTATTATGCTGCACGTAAATTTGCTTATCAAAGACAGCATGTTATTGCATTTCCATTGTTTAGCTTGTGCTATCAAGTGCAATGTGACTTTCTTGTGTAACCTTTGCATAGCTCCACCCACTGCTGCTTTGTCACAGTAGTGCAGGAGTGAGGCAGAAAGGTAACCATAGCAACATTATTTGCAATGGGGGTGTGGTGGGAAATGTTGTAAAGTGCCCTGTCAGGAAGGCACTGTGAGACTGGTTGGTCACGAGTGGGTTTCTGCAGTGGGACGTGACAAGGTGCTCATACTAATGGCCAACAGGCGTATTCTCTTTTAGAGAGGCGGGATCATGTGAACCCTTAATAATATAATAACTTCATTTTATTTCTGCTGCCTTTACTGTATAGAAGGTCATCCTTGTATAACGAACGAGTTACTCCTGTGAACTCAAAGCAGGGCTTAATGTTTCTAGTAAACGGTTAAAGAAGGTAAATAGTGGAAAGTAGGTTATTTCAACTCATAGTTGCCAGCTCGTGATTTTCCTTCATAGTTTTTCGTTGATGGAAAGGACACTGTGAGTAAGCGTCGAGTCAAGCTCATTCAGACGACTGACACACACACACACACACACACATGCACACAATAAGCCAGTGTTACAGTGAGCTAATTGGCTATTTCAGAATCTGATTCATTATTGCGGGGCACAAATACTAAGCGGTAGATTACCCCAGATTCACAGGCCTCATGGGAATTAGAACGGAGTTTGTTTACTGACAGTATTTTTAGTTCAGGTCTATTTCTGCATCTTTATAGTCACTTGAAAAAGCGGGATGGATTGAATCTTAAAGTCTGAGCTGATAACAGAGCTTATGGTGCAGTAGGAGTATTTGATTTCAACCAGGGCTGGATTGGTAATCGGGAATACCGGGCATTTTCCCGGTGGGCCGACGCACATAAGGGGCCGACAAAAGTGTTTTTTTTTTTTGCAGATGACCATCACGCACGGACAGCGAGCAGCCAGTGGCCCATTGGTTTGTCTCCTGTATTGACAGCGTAAACATCCAATCACAATGCGCTATAGACGGAGCGATGAAGAATTTTGCTCTGCCTATATAAAGATCACTTCACCCCAACTTCTTCCTCGTCGGCTTTTTTCCCACGTTTTCACAGCAGCATGATCAAGAACAGGCTTGCTCTGCGGTGAGTGGTGCGGGGCCAAAGAGCAAGGCAGGAGGAGAAGAAGAGAGTAGTTGCTATTGCAGCTGCTATTCAAATCTGCGTTCGCGCTTTGTTTGGCTGGCACGGAGCCAGAGACAGAAGCGTTTGTACAGCGCTGCATTATAACCAATCACACACGAGTCTGTTGAGCTTATGAATGCAATGGGTGATCAGAGACGTTCAGATGAGTCATCGCTGAAACGCAGTGTTTTGTTCACTTGCTCGCTGACTGTGCAGATGTGCGTATGAATGTAGATATTCATTTCACAGTGTAAACAGCTTCAGTGATTTTTTGTGGAGTGGAGTTTTTGAGAGTGCCTGAACTCTGGCTAGACTGAAGTGAAAATGTTCTTTGCTCTCTGTAAAATGAAGATGTTATAGCCTAATATAGTAACTTACAATATTGTTATTGAATTCACATTAAATACAAAGTCAGTCGTACATACATACATACATACATACACTACCAGTCAAAATTTTTTTGAACAGTAAGAAAGATCCAGTAAAAAAGATCCAAAGATCAGCATTTATCTGAAATAAAAAGCTTTTGTAACATTATAGGCTACATATACCATTCAAAAGCTTGGAGTCAGTATATATTTTGTTTCCTTGGGAAATGAAAAACTTTTATTTAGCAAGCATGCTTTAAATTGATCAAAAGTGACGATAAAGACATTTATAATGTTACAAAAAAATTATATTTCAGATATATGCTATTCTTCTGAACTTTCTCTTCATTAAAGAAACCTGAAAAAATTCTACTCAGCTGTTTTCAACATAATAATAATAATAAATGTTTTTGAGCAGCAAATCAGAATATTTGAATGATTTCCGAAGGATCATGTGACTGGAGTAATGATGCTAAAAATTCAGCTTTGAAATCGCAGAATAAATTTCATTTTAAAATATATTCAAATAGAAAACAGTTATTTTAAATAGTAAAAATATTTCACAATATTACTGCTTTTGCTGTATTTTGAAACAAATAAATGCAGGCTTGGTGAGCAGAAGAGAATTCTTTAAAAAACATTAAAACTCTTACTGTTCAAAAACTGTTGACTAGTATATATATATATATATATATATATATATATATATATTGAAGTGGTGGTGGGCCACCTGGACCAAAAAATGCCAGGGCTGATTTTTTGTCCCAGTCCAGCCCTGATTTCAACTGCCATGCATCAGACAGCTAATGCTATGAAGGCTACTGTTAAATCATTACTCCAGTCTTCAGTGTCACATGATCCTTCAGAAATCATTCTAATATGATGATTTTCTGCTCAAGAAACATTTCTTGTTATTATCAATGTTGAAAACATATTTTTGTGGAAACTGTGATTTATATATATTTTTTATAAGATTATTTGCTGAATAGAAAGTTAAAAAACAGCATTTGTTTGAAATGTCTTTACTGGCACTTTTGATCAATTTAATGCATCAATGCTGAATAAAAGTATTAATATATATATATATATACACTATATTTATTTATTTCAATTTATAATAAATATATATATTTTTCATTTATAATATAATAATTATTTATATATGGCCAGTACATTTTCTCAATTCATCCATCATTGATTGACTAGTGTCTAGTGTGATAGAGATAACTGGACCATTTTTCATTGATGTGTCAGGATTCATGATTATTCTTGAGGACAGGACTACTAGAGATGACATGGTTCTTAACTGTGGACAGACAAAGATATCACAGAATGACGTGGAGAATTCAGAAAGCTCTCATTATGCACTGCACGTCCTAAACCGTGACTTTGTTACTGGGCAGCATTGTGTTTTTGAGTTGAGCTCGTCTTCCCGAGGGAATTCAGGAGACAGGGTTTGCAGCAACAGTTGAAGTCTGTGAAGATCTGTGGCCAGGCGGCATGCTTTTAATGCGATGGGCTTGATCTAGAATGGCTGTCCTACATTTTTGTGTCTATGTGGAGCAATTACAGAAGGCTGCCAGGCTCGTAAGACAATACATGACATGTGAGCTAAGTCCATAAACCAGCAAGGCTTGGAATGAGCAAGTTTCATGTAAATGCTCCCTGACTACAATCCGTCTCATATCATCAGAGTTCAAAGTTCAGACCGCTGAATCAGTAAACCTCTCCTTGCTGAAAAAATCAGTGATGATCTGATAACAGAAGGCAGTGAGACGTGCAGTGCATGGTTCTCTACTTCATTCACATGACGCAATGCTCAGCATGTGACTAACACTGTCCTTGCTGAGAAAAGTGTATTTTAGAGATGCAACGCAGCAGATTGTCTGATATAAATCTACTGATATTATTGGCTTGAACTAGATTATGGTATCTGTATTATATGTGGCTTTCTACGATCAGTCTAGCAAATGCTCTTAAATGCACATAAATGACTGCCAAAATTCTTTAGCAAACAAGGACATTTATTAATCACGGAAAATAACATATTATCTTGTGAAGAAAATATGAGTGGTACTTTCTCATGCAAAACTCATGTTGTGAATGGTCACCAGGACGTTGCAAGGTTGTTTAGTCATTGCTAGGGTGTTTTACTTAGTCTGATCTTTTTGAGAAATAACATCAAATCTCTGCTTAACAAACAAGATTTGAGATATCAGCCATGGCTGCTGCACATGCAGTGGATTACGAGCTTTGTGCCAAAGTTGAATGTTTATACCTCAAATACCCAACTACAGTATGAGCAATATTAATAGTAATAATAAACACCTTAAAGGAATAGTTCACCCAAAAATGACATTTACTCACCATCAGGCCATCCAAGATGTAGATGAGTTTGTTTCTTCATGGGAACAGATTTGGAGAAATGTAGCATTGCATCACTTGCTCACCAGTGGATCCTCTGCAGTGAATGGGTGCCGTCAGAATGAGAGTCCAAACAGCTGATAAAAACATCACAATAATCCACAAGTAATCCACATGACTCCAGTCCATCAACATATGTCTTGTGAAGCGAAAAGCTGTGTTTCTAATAAATAAATCCATTGTCAAGATGTTATTAACTTTAAACTGTTGCTTCTGGCTAAAATATGACTCCTCTATCCATAATATTGCTTTGTCCAGTATAAAAAGTTGTCTCATCTGACTGTTTACAAGTCAAAACAGTACAAAACCGTTTCAAGCAAATATATTGGTGGATTTTGATGTGAGAGGACAACAGGAGATGGGCTTTTTTAATGGAGAAAGTGTTATTATGGATTATGGACTGGCATTTTAGCAAGAATTAACAGTTTAAAGCTAAAACAACCTTAATTATGGATTTGATTCTTACAAAAACACAGCTTTCCCTTTCACAAGGTGTCAATTGAGTCGTGTGGATTATTGTGATGTTTTCATCAGCTGTTGGGATTCTCTTTCTGACGCCATTCATTCAGTGCAGAGGAACCATTGGTGAGCAAGTGATGTAATGCTACATTTTTCCAAATTCAAAGAAAAAAATTCATCTACATCATGGAAATTTTTAGCAGATTTTTGGCTGCTTTTTTTTTTACAGTGAGTTGTAGGTAATGAAAACAGTTGACATAACCATGTGTCATAATTTTTGTCTTTGACAGATTGTGTATGTCACTGCCACGTTCCCGTATGTGGTCCTGATTATTCTCCTGGTGAGGGGCGTCACTCTTCCTGGTGCTTATGATGGGATCATGTACTATGTCAAACCTGACTGGTCTAAGCTAGGAGAGGCACAGGTGAGACCTTCAGTTCTGTCTTCCAGCTTTCTGTAGAGCTTCAAACCTCTCTACCGCTTTGGATGAAATCATTTGATTTTATCCAAATGAATAAGTAAAAGTAATTCAGTACGCCTCATTATTTTATTTACTTTTACTAAGTTTATTTACTTTTCTCTCTCTGCTTATAGGTATGATGCACAATACGGTTTAATTTTAGTGTTTCTAAGAACGTTCAAAGTTTTAAACTTGACTTTTATGTCCAGTACCTGGAGCCACTTTGAGCTCAATAATCATTTCAGATGTGGATCTGTTTGTCTGACTGTCATTACTCTTTCTGTCTCTCTCAGGTCTGGATCGATGCTGGTACTCAAATCTTTTTCTCCTACGCTATCGGGCTCGGAGCCCTCACGGCCCTCGGCAGCTATAACCGATTCAACAATGACTGCTATAAGTAAGCCCCCGCCACAGCCTTGAAGAGACAAGGACACATTTTTGTTATGACGTCTTTTGCACTTTCTGAACCAGTGTGTTTTCTTTTTGAAAGACGTTGTGTCTAGTACGTTCATGCCATCTCGAGTCCTGACCTTGTCTTACATGAAGCTGGATTTGAATGATGGTGTGGCTAGCAAAGAGCAAACGGCCTCTCACTTTAATAATAGATCTCAAATGTCTTGGATACATTAGTAACCAGATGCACTCAATCAGCAGTTCTTTGCTTTGACTTTAATGTACAAAGCACTTTGGCTGGTTATATATACATTGACAGTCTGGAATGATTTAATTTAAAATTGGAAATAAAATATTTTAGGATTTTGAAAAAAAAAAAAAAATACAATTTTGATTATAATTTTGATTGCTGGAGATTTGCACTTTTTAGTTTATTAATCAAATAAGCAAAAGGAGACATAACTAAATAGGCTACTGTGAAAATGAGAAATTCATGCACATTTTTACAATTCAGCATTTCACTTCAATTATCGTTAAAAATGTGTATTAAATTAGAAGTGAATATTATTACTAAATTACTACAAAAATGCTTTAATATAATTAATATGATAATGCCTTAATATTTAGATTTTTTAATTAATTATTTATATTTATTTTTATAGTTAGTTTTATTCATTAAATTAATTCATTGTGATTAATTTCAGAAAAAATTGTGCGATTAATTAGTTAATTTTTTAATCGATTGACAGCACTAGTGTTAATCATTTTTTTAAAATAAAGTATTATTATAATTGTATTATATTTTATTATTGACTTATTATTATTCATTATTAATAAATTAACATTTAATAAATAATTGTAACCACAGTTATGGTACATTTTAGTATGTACAAATTCAAGGTTATACATTTTAAGAGTGCATTACGACACATGATATCTCATAAATATTATGGTATTTAGTGCATTATATTCTTTATTCTATAACCTTGAGTAGATAAATTATTGAAATAATTGTATTGTAGCAGTATTTTTAATTATTCACAAGAATATAATACTGACAATGAGGTGTCATTATTATGTGCCTTTTAACTGAAATAAAATGATGACATTTTTAATTCAGTATACACTATTTAGGCCTAATCTAATGTGTTACACAACCATCTGACTGCATTCAAATAAAGCCCAACACATGCCAAAACTGAGCTGCAGTTAATGTCTGTGTTTTCTTCTCTTCTCAGGGACGCTTTTGTTCTGGCTTTTATTAATAGTGGCACCAGTTTCTTTTCTGGTTTCGTGGTCTTCTCCATCTTAGGTTTCATGGCGTCTGAACAAGGTGTGGACATCTCTAAAGTGGCTGAATCAGGTAAGAGCCTACAGTCATTTACTTCATTACAGGTGACAGATTATGTACTATACTGGATGGTAAGACAAACAAATGTATATTTTTAAAACATATTTATGCGTCTCCCAGCCCTGAAACTACGTGCATCTTAATGCAGGTGTTTAATAATTTACTTTCACTTGTTTTTAGTGCACATAAGTGAATGCATTTCAGACCTGGGGCTGGTTCTAGTAAATCATTTATGAAATCAATGTTTAATGCAAGAATGATCTGCTGAAAATGAATGAAACATGCATTGTGTGAGTCATGAACATATGTGATATGATGATGATGATATTATACAGTAAATTAACTTCAGTGCAGTGTGATTATGTGGCTTGTATTGTTTATTACTGTAAATGTTTATTGTTGGATTGACAATACAATTGAAAGCAGAATATAAATGATCATGTTTATACACAATGCTATTTGCTCTTAGTCATATTACTGTGAAAGGGACCAGACGATTAGCAGTTTGTGTTTTGTGTGTGTGTGTGTGTGTACCTGTTTTTCTATTCTGGTGGGGACTTAAACCTGAATACACACAGACTCATGGGGACTCGTGCCACGGTGGGGACCTAAATTGAGGTCCCCATGGGTAAACAAGCTAATAAATCACACAGAATGAAGTTTTTTGAAAATCTAAAAATGCAGAAAGTTTCCTGTAAGGGGTAGGTTTAGGTGTAGGGTTGGTGTAGGGCAATAGAATATACGGTCTGTACAGTATAAAAACCATTACGCCTATGGAGAGTCCCCACAAGGATAGCAAACCAGACACGTGTGTGTGTGTGTGTGTGTGTGAGTGTGTGTGTGTGTGTGTGTGTGTGTATGCAGACTTGTTTATGTGTGTGAGTTTATAATGGGAATGCAGGTATGTGTGTATGTTTGTGATGATCACAATCAGTACATTCTTCTTCCTATATGCTGTCCTTAAACACTGAGGACGATATAATTCCCAGAATGCAATGCCTTGACTTTACATACACAAACGCAAAGACATTGATTACGATTTAATTCTAATTTTATGTTTAAGTTATTAATACTTAAACTAAAATACTGATCAGCCTTGAATAATCATCACAGACTAGACTAATAGACTAATAGTATGCGGCATGAATTTAACGCCCCACATGTTCTTGTGTGGCGCTCACGCATGCAGACGTGTTAGTTCATAACACATAGGCCTACATGTTTCACATTTAAAGTGTGAACACCAGACGTAGGCTTGCTGTCGCTCAGATTTTTGTGAAGCTATCACTAATAATCTGTACATGACCATCCTACAAGATTGACATTATATTCACGCCTTTTTGCATAAATATCTTGCTAAAGGCTGTTGCATAAAGAAAAAATGCATACGAGCACACACTATAAATGTTAGGAAACCAAATCCCCAAATTTTCTGTACTGATTTCATCAAGAATAGTGAGCATGAATCTAGATGTTTATGTTTTATAGCCAGCTTCGTCATGCAAAATATTTTTGGAGTTGTAAAAAAGGCAAAGATTGCTAGAGTACATTTTAAAAGAAAAAAATGATTGCAGTCTTTCTACTTCAAAAATTTCATGTTTAATTCAATGTGTTACTTGCAATTTGTTTGAAAAATTTTCACTCAGAAATTTCTAGTAAAATTTCAAATTATATATCTATCACATTATATAACGTGTCTATAGACACATGGACATTAGCTTGCTAAGAGTATTATTTCTCCCAAATTATTGTCTAAAAAATGAAACTGCTCATTTATTTATTTATTGCCATAACAACCTAGTTGTTCGGAATTTTGCTTGGTGAGCTCATCAGCAATGATAACATACATTCAGAAAAAAACAACACATATACATAAATACATCTATACATATATGTCCTATGAATTACAGGGAGTGAAAAGCAGATGCAGATATACCAGAGGAATTAATAGCATGAACAATCCTACAATAAGTGCTGTTCAGAAAACGTGTAGACAGTTTTAACTGCTCTAAGACGTCTGCATGAAGGTAGAGGCGTGAAGAGGTGTCTGGCTGGATGTAAGGGATCTTTCAGGATTTTTAGACCTTTTTTCTGTTAACGTGAGACATAAATCTCATCAGTAGCGGAAAGATCACAACCAATATTTTTCAAAGCAGTCCCTATTATGTTACTAATCTGACTTCTCTGCTGAGCTGTGGAACTACCAAACCACACCATAATTGAGAAATTCAGCACGCTTTTGATCACAGCTCTATAAAAATGTAACATATTAACCTTAGAGATGCCAAACATTTTAATCTGTCTAAAGAAAAAAGCCTTTGATGGGATTTTTAAATAATGCGTCTTAGGTTGTCGTCCCACTTCAATGATGCAGAGATTGTAGTCCCAAGAAACTTAAAGCTTTATACATTTTCAATGTCCTGACCTTTAATAATTAATGGCAAAACAGCATTTGACCTCCGTCGGAAATCAAACACCATTTCCTTTGTTTTAAGGACATTCAACTTCAGATTATGAGTACAACTCCATTCAAATAATGTAGATACCTCCCTTCTATAGTCAGATTCATTATTGCCTGTTATTAGATCAATCAATGTAGTATCATCTGCAAACTTGCACTTTTCAATAAGCAACATTTTAATAAGCAACATTTTACAATCTGGTGGTTAGAAGATGTGTGAACATTAGGGTTGTGCCGATAGACGATGCCTGTGGCTGATGCTTTTGACGATAGCAAGATGATTATTTGAAAACCTTGTGAAGACTTACAGAAAATGTTTGACCTCTGTCATTGCCAACAAAGGGTATATAACAAAGTATTGAGATGAAATTTTGTTATTGACCAAATACTTATTTTCCACCATAATTTGCAAATAAATTCTTTAAAAATCCTACAATGTGATTTTCTGGATTTTTTTTTCTCATTTTGTCTCTCATAGTTGAGGTATACCTATGATGAAAATTACAGGCCTCTCTCATCTTTTTAAGTGGGAGAACTTGCACAATTGGTGGTTGACTAAATACTTTTTTTCCCCACTGTATTTCTTTTTCCGCGTTTTTACAGTATTGCACATTCTAACCAATCACACACGATTATGCTGAGCTTATGAATGCAATGGCCAATCAGAGGCGTTCAGATGAGTCATTGCTGAAACTGCGGAGTTCTGTTGTTCAGCGCGCGCTGACTGAATTCTGACTCGCGAATTCTCTCATTATAAACAACAAAGTGCAGATGTACGTGCGATGTAAGTACAAAAGATTTATTCATCATATAGTGTCGATTCACTGAGTTTAACGGGAGTGTTTTTAAAGTGCATAAACTAAAGTGCTTTTTGAATAACTGAGGAAATGTAAGCATTTTAATTAGTAACTTGCGATGCTTAAATGATTTTAGCAAATGGCTGCAATATAACAAAGAGTGAAAAATTTAAGGGGGTCTGAATACTTTCCGTACCCACTGTAGATTAGCACGATAATATCGTGTATCGGTGATCTCACAGTCTAACGATAGGACGATAGGAAAATTTAGCATATCGCCCAACAGTAGTGAACATCACATCATATTCTGAACTAAAGACAACATTTTATTGAAACTTGCATATTTACTGACTCATCAACCCACCATCTGCATGCATGTGCATTTAACAAAAAAAATTTTGAAATGGAAATTCACACCAAAGTTAGCCCCAGAAATGGAAATTAAATGTAGTCAAACCTCCTAAGCCTGAAAAACCTTTTAGACATTTTTTTTTTTACTGAATAATTCTGGTTTAAAATCGTACAGCTTGTAGCAGAGCTCCATTTAGTGCTAGTGGTATTTTACTCTTACCCCTGCATGGTAAATTAGTACTGTCATTTCAGAATCAGTTCAGCTCACGGCGCAGAAGCAGTGCACTGGTTTGTTGAGACTCAGTAAAGGACAGCATGTTCTTGGCCTGAAGGAGAGACTGTACAGCAAGACTAAATGAGTATGAAGTGATAATATTTTTAAATGACTTGGCAAGATGCTACGGACTTCATACAGAGTGACCCTCACATCCTTGAAATGAATTAATTTTAATCGGATCGCTGCTTGTACATGTTGGGGTTAACACACCAGTGTACTGCATGCTTTAAAGGGGTCAAATCATGAGGAATCACATGTCTTTGCTCTTTCAGTAGGCTTTTCATGATGCTAAATTAAGTTTAATATTAATGTAGAAAGTTACATGTTAGAAATTGAATGTAGATTGCAATAATTTTTCAATGAAATAACCACTGTTTCTGGTTTCGGAAGTAATTACTGTATTCAAATCTCATTTTCATATTGCTGTTATAATTTCGACATAATACACAGCAGCAAATTTACACTGATAGATCTGACAGATCCGACCACGGGTAACAAAATTAATTTCTAATCTGTACTAATTTTAGTACTTTTTTACTGTCACAGCAGGTATGAACCAGGGGTATTGTAGTTTACTAAAACTAAAATAATAAAAAATACACCCCCCTCCCCCCCAAAAAATATTACTTTATTTCAGCTAGTTGCCAATGCAACATTTCTCATTTATCTATATATCTAATATCTATATATCAATATAAATACATTTTTTTCTTTAATGACGTCACCAGCGACTAGTCGACATTGACTCGACTTTCATCACATAAATGTCAACTTTAAAAAATCTGAAGTCGTTCAACCCCTAACACACAAACATGTTTTGAATGTATGTGTATAGGAATGAGTGTGAGTGTGTGTGAATCTCATCTGTGTGTGTGTGTGTTGGTCCTTGTCTTTTAGGGCTGTGCAATTAATCGCATGCGATTGTCAAGCGCATCTCGTCAGTAAAGCCGGTTCTGTGATTGGTAGTAAATCTCCATCACCTGCTTTCAGATGGAGTGGCATTTAATACACAAAGCCGTAGTTCACTGACAAGCTAGGCAATATCACGTTCATAATCGAATGCGATTCATCTGCGATTATGAACGCGATATTGCCTAATTGTCAGTGAACTACGGCTCTGTGTAGTAAATGCCGCTCCATCTGAAAGCAGGTGATGGAGATTTACTACTAATCACGGAACCGGCTTTACTGACAAGATGCGCATGACAATCGCATGCGATTAATTGCACAGCCCTATTGTCTTTTAGTGTGTTGTCTGTGCCAGTATGATGTTTAGAAACAGATCTCAAGGTCTAAATGAGGCTCTCAGTGTCAGTGTGCTTGTGTCGTGATGTCTGAGTGGGCTGTGATGTGCTGTACTTCCAGACGACATTAAGAAGGAAACCATTGATACATTGTTTGTGGCTTTTTCTTATTTTTCATTTTCCTGCAGCACACAATCGGATGTCAGTTACAGTTAGAAAGCGAACCAGATTCCCCATCATAAATTTGATGCTTTGACTAGTTTTCCTTGATTGTCTTCAGTCCCGTTCTATATATATCTTGTGATTCATATATATTTATTTATATCTCTATATCTATATTTTGGCTTTATTTAAGTATTAATTTAAGGATTATTTAACCAGGAACTTTGCCTCTTGAGATGTGCACATCTCGATTTCAAGAGGGGTCCTGGAGCAGTCTGCCAACGCAGGTAAACCTCTGATATCTAATGTTAGCATTTACACCTCTACTACAGCCCAGCCCTAAAGTCAGCACTTACGACCGTCTGCCGACACAGGCAGGGCAGGCCCGACATGCACAGCATAGCCTAGCCTCATTCCACAATTAGGGTCATTCATCTTGAGAGACAAAGCCAAAGTGTGGAAAAGCTGTACACCGCCGGCACTCAGTCTGTTTTAACCCCAACACAATAAAAAGTGCTAACGTCTAGCACTAACCTTCTCCAAACTGTCGCTTGACATTAATATAAGACACATCTTTCTTCTGGCTCTTCACTGTGTATTTCCATTACATTTGCCTGTATCTTGCTACATTTGTCAGAAATCAAATAAAATACAAATAAAAAAAGTAATAGGCATAGTTGTTACTTAAACGTCAGTGTCGAATACAGTATCCACTGGTAATACAAAAATATCCCACCTCTACAGTTCCTTAAAGGGGTCATATAATGAGAAATTTAATAACATAAACACGAGCCTGTAACTTGGCCTGTCCTGTCACAGTAATAATGACAAACTATGATATATATATATACTATTATTCCTAAACACCAAGTTTAGGAATCATAAACTCCAAAGAGCTAACTAGTGTAAAATGTGTAGAAAATATGTTAAAATGTGCTGATCCTGTTGTGTGTATCAGAAGAATCTCAGTGTTAGAAATCAGCGACTGAAGCTTGTTTTAATAGTCTTCACATGAAAACTTTCCAAGGATAATGTGTTCGATTTTTATATTATATTAATTGCCAACGTTTTAAATGCCACCCATAGAAATTAGTTTAATTATTTAAAAATAACATCTAAAATTATCAATGGATATGTATTTGATAACTGCTTTCAAGATTGCAACATTAATATCTATATTTCTATCTATCTGCAATGCTATCAGAGCAAGAAAAAAAAAGGTTTATCTATAAACTAATACTGTAATAGTACCATAAATTAATAATAATATTTCAACACATAACTGAAGCATGAATTGACAACTATCTGGTCACGGTAACACAATATTGATGAAGTATGATATATTATTATTCCTGAAGAGCTGACTAGAGTAAAATATATAGAAAATATGTTAACGCATGTACTGTTCCTGAAGAATCTCTGTAGCAGAATCTTCTCTATCAGAAGGATCTCAACATAAGAAATCAGTGACTGGAGTGTATTTTTAATAGTCTTCACATGAAAACATTTTGATTTGTGAGGTTTTTATATTATATTAATTGCCAAAGTTCAAAATGCCACACATAAAAATTTGTTAAAATTATTCAGTAAAATCTAAAATCAAATAAAATCTGAAATTATTATTAGAAAATGTATGGAAATGTCTATGATTGCTGATTTCAAGATAACGAAAAATATTTATAAAAATGTATATGTATGAAAAAATTTTCAATGCAGATCAAGAAAATATAACTACTGATTTTTTAATATTTTTAATTCAAATGTTATTTATAAAAAAAAATTATTTATAAACTAATGCTATAATATTACCATAATAATAATATTACATTAATAATATTTCAACACATGACTGAAGCATCAATTGACACATATAACACATGGCCGTCTGGTCACAGTAACGTAATATCGACAAATAATTTATCATTTTTTATATTTTTATTCTTAAACACTTGAAGAGTTAACTAGAGTTCTGTCATGAAAACTCTCAGAGGGATTGGCATGGTAATGTACATGATAATGTTAATGTATTTGGTCTTGGCGGAATAGATCTGCTACGCTGCTGTAACGACAGCGCAAGTACCGAGACTTGCTACTGCCAATACATCCACAACATGCTGCTGTAAGCATGTAAGAAATACTGCTGCTGCACATATAACACATATGAATAACCCCCATATAGCATACATGAATCACCCCATAGCAGATCTATACAGGTGGAGCTGGGGAAGGTGGGGGGTTTCTGAAGTGTGCTGCCAACTGCTACAGCAAACAAAAGCCAGGTATTTTAATATTAAGCAGTAAGCTCATTGGCAATACCAATACAGGAGAGAACCAATCAGCTGCCATGTGACAATGATGTCGCCAGGTCAGATTGCGCTAGACCTATCGGACTGCGCCATCTAGAGTTTCATGCCAGAACTCTGTATTAAAATCTATAGATAATACATTAAAGCATGTGTTGATCCTGTTGTGTGTAGCAGAAAAATCTCAACTTTAGACTGATCAGATTTTTTAATCAGTTCCCTGATCATTTCAGAACAGTCTGAGTGGCTCTTTTCCTTGCAGAATGTTGTACAAATCTCTCAGTGTAATCCAGTCTGTTTTTGATGGATGGAGCACCTAAACACCATAGTGGAAACAACGCGAGTTGAGTGCAGCTAAACTTCGCTTCTCATTTCACATGCAGAAGGTGCATACATAGAATTCTTATGGTAATGAACTAAACAATGACTACTTTGCTGTGAAGAACTTTACAAACAGTTTGGGTGGAATAAAATAAATAATGTGATATGACCCCTTTAAGTGTTTAGTTCTGTATGATTAAAATAGTTAAGCAGCTTATTTTAAACCAAAATGCACAATTATCAGCCGACTCAGTTCAGTTTACATTTCTTCATTTAGCAGAAGCTTTTTGTGTCCCTTTATATTTTAGGACACACATCAACTTACAAAATGTTTCAGATAACAAACTCCAGATTTAAATTTGTGCTTAACTGGCTCGTAAAAATTTGTCTGCCATAAACTAACAGTATTGTAAATTTGTGGACTTGTGTGCTGTGAAACCAGTATTATGGCAGATGACTAATAATGCTAATAGATTTAGACGCCCTCTATGTTAGCATGCACTTACACGCCTCGAATGACACGCTGCCTACACAACATTACAGTTCATCTCCAGTGAAATGCATTAGAATGGAGTGAACAAAGATTTCTAACAACTAAATGGCTAATCCAAACCTGCCTTCTATATAGAGGAGCAATAAAAAACGATAAACAGTAGGAAAAATGAACACCCCGCACCCCTGTTTTCCACGAGCTATCACTTCGTATCACCTCATCCAGGTGCTTCTATCTCTCATTCCCTCTCTTTCTCTCTGATTGAGTTCTGCCTCTCTCTGTTCCGTTGGTGCTGTACGTGTGTTGTGGGCGGCCTGTAGCCCATGGTTACACGTCTCTCATGTTTCTCTTCTCCCCGCAGGCCCCGGTTTGGCGTTCATAGCATACCCTAAAGCCGTTTCTATGATGCCCGTGGCTCCGGTGTGGGCTGCCCTATTCTTTATCATGCTGCTACTGCTAGGAATGGACAGTCAGGTCAGTTCACATGCAGACATTTTAAGGATCATGTGTGTGGTTTTTATATGATATTAATGGCCAAAGTTTGAAATGCCACACACAGAAATCTGTTAAATTATTCGGTCAAATCTGTGGGGAAAAAATCTATAAATAATTAAATCTAAAAGTATTTTCAGAACATTAATGGAGATGTATTTGATTACTGCTTTTTACGATTATGACACTGAAATTTTTTTTTTTTTTTTTTAATGCCATCAGATCAAGAAAAATGTAACAACTGTCTTTTTAATATTTGTATTAATATTTTACTTATAGAAAATATTTATTCATAAAATAACACTATAATATTACCATAAATAAAAAATATTTGAATACTATATATATATATATGAAGAGTTAATTTGCAAAAACCGATAACCGATAATTTTTTGCAAGGTTCCGTGAAAATGTTTCAGCTTTTATTTTCCTTTTTCGCCCTGAAGAAGATATCACAAGTTCGTTGAAATGATCCATCCTCGATCACTTTTAGTCAGCTTTGCCGAAACTCCTCTCAGCTAGCACGTCTTTTCAAAGTGAAAGTAGCCTTGTCACCTGACCTGTATACAGCGCGCTGATTCGCTAAAATGGACTTAACGGCTTCTGTTCAAAAACAACAAGGACACTTGTCAGCTTCTGCAGTAAAACGTGAACTCGCGATGCCTTTAAAATGGACAAAACAGGCTTTTTTGACAAAACGTGTTTAGGGTTCAGATCGCGCAATATGTGGCGAATAATGCACGGCAATCAGCTCCTTTTTTTTTTAAAGTGGCATTTATCGGTTTTTGCAAATGAACTCTTCATATATATATATATATATATATATATTTGGGTTGTGATGGTGAGGAAATTTTCTCACCGGTTAATCGACGTGTGACAACACTGGTAACATTGGGTTCTGGGGTTTTCAATAAACTTTCCTAAATAGCTTGTAAATGCCCATGCACATTTTACTTTCACTTTCGAATTTGCAGCAATTCGGCGTCAGTTGCATGAATGGATACAACAAAACGGTACAACAACAAACTCACTTATATTAAACACAGAACTTTTATTAACAAAACAAATAAAAATACACCATGCTATAGGCCTAATATAAAATAAATAACTTACACAAAGTTTAAATAAAAAAAAAAACAGAAATCAGCAAACACTTTGGAGTAGTTTATTATTATAGTATATTATTAAAACTAAACTTTTTTTTAGTTGAAATATAATTTTCGTTTGTAGGAAACATTAACTGAAATAAAAGAAATTCTAAAACAATTAAATAATTCAAACTAAAATAAAAATGAATAAAAAATAGACTGAAAAATTAAAACAGAAAAAAAAATTCGAAATATTAATAAAAACTATAATAGTATCTCAATGATACTAAAATAACACTGCCATGAATCTGAAGTTCCAAATGTGGAAATGATTAAATCTAACTTGAATCTCAAAGAGGTTTTTATTTCAGTTGTCAGAGGACATTTTCTTTTCATTTGGCAAAGAGTTGCCCTTGTGTGTTTTTGATTAAAATATCATCATGCAACTGAAAATATTTTGAGTTTGATTTTGAAGTGAGCCCATTAATAACACATCTTGACTTTTTTTGTTTTTTTCAGTTTGTTGGTGTGGAGGGTTTCGTAACTGGAATTCTTGATCTTTTCCCTGGAAAGTATTACATGCGCTATCAGCGCGAAATCGCTGTGGCGATCTGCTGTTTATTATGCTTCATTATAGATCTCTCCATGGTTACACAGGTGAGTCCTCTTAATGAAACACCCCTTCATCAGCTGTGAGAATATCAGCATCAGTCGCGTGGCTCTCCATTAGTCAGATAAGAATATAATGGTTTATCACAAGTCCTTTCTCTGGGTGTTAGATCGTCACGCTCTCATCCAGAGGCTGATCTTTCTTCACTGAAAATTGTTGCCGTATGTGGGAGTGACGTGACTCATAAAACTCACAGTGAGGGTTTACACAAGAAAACTTCAAAGAATCACAATGAACATAACAACCTGACAAGTAGCATTTGTGATATTGATTCATTGGTTTTTCAAACACAGATGAAGTTGACAAATTGTTGTGTAAAGACAACGTGAAACAACATTCATGATGCATATGACACTTATTTCAGGGTGAAACCAAATATTAATAATGTAGGGTGGAACTAGGGATTTGATCAGTGACCTATGATATTATTGGTTAATATTAGTTTTTGAATATGGGAAAATAATAGGATATATTGTGTGTTTGCGTGTGTACCTACTTATCCATATTTTGGTGACGAATGTTGTACCCTAAAGTGAGCAAAACCTGACAAAATCGCCAAAAACCTCCATTTGGAGACATCCTCATTTGTAAAACTGGCATAAAAATAAAGTAAACCAAAGTTTTTTTGGAATTGTAAAAATGCAGAAAGTTTTCTGTGAGGGGTAGGGGTGGGTTTAGGTTAAAAAGTGTATAACTATCTGTATATAAAAACAATAGAAGTCTATGTAATGTCCCCATTTAGATATCTAAGTAAACGTGTGTGAGAGAGTGTGTGTGTGTGTGTGTGTGTGTGTGTGTGTGTGTGTATACAACATTTGGTACTTGCAACCTATTTACCCTTATCTATTGTGGCATATTTTAGTTTTATAAATAATTTTTTTTATTTTAATATTTTTTATTTTGTTTTATTATTTTAATTTTATTGTATGTATTTTTTTTGTTTTATAAAATATATTTTATGTCCTAGATTTTGAAATTGCAAATCTCATATAATGTGAACATAAAATTAAAATGCTCGTATAATATTTAGTTTTACTTTTCTAAATAAATTATGTTCCTTTGAACTTTCTGTTTACGTATCAAAAAATGTATCATGGTTTTCAACATTGATAATAATAAGAAATGGTTCTTGAGTACAAATCCGCATATTAGAATGATTTCTGAAGGATCATGTGACACTGAAGACTGGAGTAATGATGCTGAAAATTCAGCTTTGACATCACCTGAATAAATTACTTTTAAAAAATGTTTTAAATAGAAATAAATTATAATATTTCACAATATTTGTACTGCAAATAAATGCAGCCTCGACTGGCAAAAAAAAATCGTACCAACCCCAATCTTTTCTATGCTTGTATATATTTATTATTCCACTATATTATTCTACTATTTGTGAAAAAATTAATATTTGTGTTTATTTTTCTCTAGAAAACAACATGCACTGATCGTGAGGCATTTATGAAGTTCAAAGGTCTATTTTGATTTCATATCAATTTGCATTTACAGGGAGGGATGTACGTCTTCCAGCTTTTTGACTACTACTCAGCCAGTGGAATGACCCTACTGTGGCAAGCATTCTGGGAATGCGTGGTAGTCGCGTGGGTTTATGGTGAGAATCTCTTCATGCAGCCGTTTTTCCATTCTCTTGTCTCATCAGTTTATCATGAGTACTGTAGGCATTTATCTTCCAGTGTTTGCTGCATTAAGAGATAAGAATAGCATGTAGGACCCTGTGCTGGCAGCAACACTATTCTAATGCTCCACACACCCAAAAGAGCACTGACTTCATGCCGCTGTGTGCAGGTGCTGACAGGTTCATGGATGATATTGCCCGTATGATCGGTTACCGGCCATTCCCGTGGATAAAGTGGTGCTGGTCCTTTATAACTCCATGTGTTTGCATGGTGAGTGCTGGAAAATACTCCCACCTGTTCACGCTTTTTAAAAGTGGTTACGGCTGTCAATATTTATGCCATTTAACCCTCCTTTTGTGTTCAAAAACTGGATATAACTTTTGTATTGTGGGTCAAATTGAGCCACATTGGTTTCCATGCAATTTGCCAAAAATCAACACTATGAAAAACAATAAAAGATCCATGTAAACACAGAAAACCTCTGTTGTAGCTTGTCAGAGAGATGTAATCATTCCCATCTATTTCTTTTGTGTTAAGGGTCAATTTGACCCATACATTTTTGTTCAAAATAAGCTGCACTAAAAAGACTCCAAAAAAAAGATGGGGATCTTTTGTCATGACCATCTGAGTATATATTGGGTTATTTTAGTATCATTGAGATACTATTATAGCTTTTATTTTATTATTTTTTTATATATATATATATTTTCTGTTTTCATTTTAATTCTCATTAAAGTTTTAGTAATATTGTGTTTTTGTCATTTTTGCATTAGTTTTCTTTTTTAAATATGTATATATAATTTATTTCATTTTTACTTTGTTATTTTAGTGCAATAAGATAAACTAACTAAAAATTAGGAAAAAATAAAATAAGTTTCTTATATTTTAAAATAAGTTTATAACATAAGTTTCTTATATTTTATTTCAAGTAACAACATTTTTTTATGTTTCCAGTTTTAGTGAACTATAATAATCCTGGTATCCAACATTAAGTGTACTTAGTGTAAGTAAATTTTTTTGCTATTTGTACTTCTGCCTTTTTGTCATTTTCTTGTAATTGAGATCCAAAAATCTAACAACCAAAAACAGCCTTTGGCAGATTTTTGACAGTGAATTTTCCTTGGATGATTCAGAAGACAAGTCTTCAGTTTCGAATAAACATTGAGTCTTAAATTTCGTCTCACGTATTTCATATTTAAGTGTTTAGCAAGCTACAATATTTTTTTACCTGATTGTCAAAGTTGAATTTTGGATGGAAAATTGCATGGAAACCAATGGAGGTCAGTTTGACCCACAACACAAAAGTCATAGACATGTTTTGGAAAGGCTTTACAAATTTGTTATGTATCAACACTTCGCATGCTCATTCATGACCCTAAATGAGAACAATTTACAAAATGTCAAGAAGAAATAAAGGCAGTTTGAAAATTGGATGTAGGTCAAACTGACCTGAACAAGGTTCAAATTGATATAAAAAGACATGTTAGGCTGCTGCTCCTGTGTTGTTCAATCAGATTGTTGACTCTGATATGGAAGCCATTGCTCTTTATGTCTTCAGGGTATCTTCCTATTTCATCTGCTGAACTACAAGCCTCTGACCTACAACAATGTGTATGTGTACCCGTGGTGGGGAGAGGTGATCGGATGGTGTTTGGCTCTCTCCTCCATGCTCTGTATCCCCGTTAGCCTTGTGTACAAGCTCGCTGGAGCCAAGGGAACATTCAGAGAGGTTTGCACCATTTCAACCTATTCAAAGCACTGCTCTATTTCCCGTGCACTAGCACTAATATATGAAAGGTGTGGAGAGCATTGAAATGAGTAGGTGTGTTTATTTGCAAGATCCAAATTCTGAGTATCGGCCCCACAAACAACAGTTAGTGCAAACAGTCCAAAAACAGCAATTCAGTGTAGCTGTCGATGCCATTGGAGTTGGACTATGGGTCAGTTACCTCACTGAAAAGCATCAGAATTGCTCATGAGAAAGCGATGTGTGTATTTATAGTAACTAGGCTAATGGTTGTCATTCCTCTGCAGATAGACCACAATGCCTCACCCCCTCGATGTTTGCTTCCAAACACACACTGAATACTGAATACAGCTGAGGGTTGTGGCATGTATGTGTAGGAAAACTAGCACAGGATGCTGGAGGAAATGAAAAATAATAGGGCTGTCAAACAAATTAAATAGTAATTGTGATGAATCTGTTTTTATAGTGCAATACGGCATTCTGTTACTTTTTAAGGAAAGAAAACTAAATGTTATTTTGTGAGGATGACACTAGGAAAATATGCTCATATCTATATAAGGATACTGGCCAGAGGAAATTTCCTCATTCGGACTAAAAACAATCAAATTATTATTTCTCAAACTGCATCTCGGCAAACAAGAAATGAAAATATGGAAGTCAATGAAACTGCTGATATTTGATTTGTTGAGCATTGTTGTTTTTTAAATATTATTCCTACTATTATAGTATATATTCCTTTTTTTATTTTATAGTATTTTATAGTATTTTATAGTGTGTATATATATAATTTTATATATATTTACACACACATATATATATATATATGTAAATTTATATATGTGTGTAAATATATATGTAATTTTAGTTTGGTGTTCCAGATATGATGTGGGGACCAAATTAAATTGTACTTTAAATTATTGTTAAATTATTTTACTGTAAATTATTCCCTCGTTTTAATTTACATAAAATCAGGGAACAATTGAATAAATCATAAGAAAATTATTGATATTCTTTCTTTCTTTGTTTTTGCATGTCATTTAATGGTTCTGTGTATTTTAATATTTCAACTTAAAATATTTTTGACAGGTAGTTGCCAAGGCAAGATTTCTCAAAAGTTTAAGTTTAATTTTTTCATCTAATAATTATAGTTTATTTTATTTCTGCTTTATTTCAATTAAAAACAATGCAAAAGAACAACCGTCCAAAGAATAAATCTGCGTCTGATTTATAAATAAATAACTAACCCATCATTTGCATGTGTTAACATGTTAACTTTGCCAGTCCTAAAAAATAATGTGGGATGCTCTAAATGGAAATGTCAGCACAGATTTGTTGACACAAAGTTTAGTCTGATTGTCATTAATTGTTATTCTCACAGTTACAGTAAATTGTAGTTTTCTTCTCTAAACTAGCTTGATTTTATTCAGAATGCATAGATTAGGACTACGTGAACTGCTTCAAATAAGCATGTTGCCCATTCATTATGTGTTTTGTTTTTCATGCAGCGTTGGGAAAATCTGACCAAACCAGTGTGGGGAGCCCATCACCTCGAATACATGGCCCCTGACACTGACATTAAAAGCCTGGCCTCTCTGTCTCCTGGAACGGAGGAGAACAAGGTGATCATTTTTGAGAGTGTTATGTAGATCAAAGGGAAATGCTACGACAACCCTCCTAAGGCAAGCTGGTTGAAGAAATCATCAGTATTTTTTTTTTCTTACAGTCTTAAAACAGCTGATGGAAATTGACGGTTACATTTTGTTTCATACAACAGATCCTCTAGCATGCACATTACCAGATGCTCTTCCTCTTCCACCTGTTGAAACTGCAAACTATATACATGATTTTTTTTTATTATATGCAAAGTTTATTGCAGATATCAAGACTTGCAGGGCGAAATCAGCATGTCTTTGGAGGGGACAGTATAGTGTAGCCTATAACATTATTTCACAGAGCAGCAGAATTCCCACAGGCCACTTTCCTGAACGTGATATGGGTCTCTTTGCACTGATACGAGGATCAAATCTGAGCAAGAAGCACATGGATAAAATGAAGAAAGGGGGGGGGGGGGGAGACGTGTTACAAATGCATCCTTGACTTGAAGACTATAATTAGTCATTAATTTTCAAATTCATAAAATCTCATGCATATTTAAACTAAAATAATGTACGCTTCAATAAACTATTTAACTGATCAGCAAAAATAGATACAGATCTATTAATCAAATTAGATTTGGTGTCAACAAGGCCACATGTAGTTGCCAAATGATGAGAAATAATTTCTGTAGCTTTTGCTTGATGTGTCTTCATCTGAGACAGGTGACCTCAATTCCTGGTGCATGATATCACAGTGTTTACTGTAAGTGCCAAACAGAGCGTGACATCCATCTCTGCTCAGGCTTGTCAGGAGATGGTTTTAGTTGCCATAAATAAAATCAATAACTTCCTAGTTCAGCTGAAATGTACTGTGTGCTCGATCTATCCTTGGATTGGAAACATCTAGAGAGTTTTTATCAGACACAGGCAGGATTTCAGCCGTGGCACTTTTCTAAGGTGCTTGTGAGCCAAAAGTTGCATTTTGTTAAAGATTGAATTGTTAAAGTCGACATGAAACTTTCATTTTTCACAACGCAATCAATAATTGATCCGGTTTCACTCTGAATAACTAATAATTAAAATGGGCTACAAGCAACGTTTCATGCCCACTTTGTTTACAATTTTAGTTTCAGTTCTACATTTTGAGTGCCAGTATTAGTATGTTCTATGACATTTTTAGTTAATGATTTAAAATCGTAATGGAAACTTTAAAAAAACATGTTATTTAAAAAAAGTCAAAGTGCAAATAAAACATTGTAAAGTTTCGCAGAAATGCATATTATCATAAAGATTCCTAAAGCTTTAACAGTTCAATATTCTACAGATTGAAAGCAGGTTGTCATAGTGGAAATATAACAGATAAATGAAAAGACAAAGAATTTTGAAACCACAATTTGAAATGTTTTCCATCTAGATCAGGGGTGGGTAAACTTGGCCTTTCCAGGCCACTTTCCTGCAGAGGTTAGCTCCAACCCTAATCAAACACACCTGAACCAGCTAATCATTGTCTTCAAGACTACTAGGCTACGTCCACACGAAGCCAGAGCTTTCCCTATCCGATCTTTTTTTTCCCCCTCGTCTCAAGAGATATCTGCGTCCACACGAAACCACAAAACGATGTAGTATACATGCCAGACCAGTATGTGGCACTGTAATTCTGCCACAGAGATACACTAAAAACGGAGAAGACTTGGACTATGCGCGCGGTATACAAACGAACATGGAACAATACATTTATTAATCTGTGTTAATATTAGTTAATAATAAAGACAATCGTTCAGTGTTTGTTCATGTTTTTGTTGCTGTTACGTGACGTAGCGGTGTCTGACTAGGGGCGAGACGTGGGCTGATGACGTCATCGTTTCAGAAACTATACGGATTCGCTGTCCACACGAAAACGCAAGGGCGGCGTTTTCAGATTTATCCATTCTGGGACCCGGTTTCAAAAAATATCGGTTTCACTCTCCCAAAACGCCGGATCCGTGTGGACGAAACGCCTATACGATACAAAATGTATGCGTATATAGCTAAACACGTCTCCGTGTGGACGGGGCCCTAGAAGGCTAAAGGCAGGTGAGTCATATCAGGGTTGGATCAAATATCTGCAGGAGAGTGGCCTGGAAGGGCCAAGTTTGCCCATCACTGATCTAGATGAAGCAAGTGTTTTATTTTTTGTGTTTTTTTGCCAATGTCAGGTGCAGAACGCTGAATATCCGAGCGGAGATCTTGATCTCTGTTGTTTTGCTGTAAAGCCTGTGACCGCTGGTGAACTATAGACACATAGTTGCCAAACTTTGCCTTTATTTGTCTCAAGTTGAGAACCCATAGACAAATAGCCAAGATTAAACCAAGACAAACCGGCCTCATTCCGACCTGTGGGAATTCTGCCCTGTAGGAGAATCAACTCAAACACTAAATCATTGTGACATTATAGATGTAATCAGAATGTACAAATTAGACTACATAATGTAAGGCTTCAGAATATATTTGCACATTGTTGTAAAATAATCTGCTAGCACTTTTTAATCGTGTTAGAAAGCTTTTTTTTTTCTTGTGATTTACATACTGTAAAATAAATCAGAGATTTATTTTGTGAAGGCTATTATTTAGCTTATATGCATATAAATATAAATACATATTGATATTTGTGTGTTATATTTTAACATTTGATGCTCTATGTACTTTTGATAAAGATGATAACATGGAGTGGGAATTCTTAGTGAAATACTGCAAAGCAGATGCCGGGAGGCATACGAGAGATAGCACACAATTGTTTTACTTAAAATATCAAGTGCTGCGGTTCTTAAATGTTTTAGATTGTGTGTGTAAAACTCCAGTATTTTCTGCTGACCACCCAGAATCCAGCTCGATTTGGTTTTCATTGAACATCTACATTGGAGAACCCATTTACCTTATTGTTTTATGCAAAAGTTTGGGCACCCCTCTGAGGCTGGATAATAACTTGCTCTTTCGTTACAAGAAAAGATTGTAGTGATATGCCATTCAGTTTCTAAAGAAAGCTGCATAGTGGGATGTTTTTCAGACAAATTCTTAGTGCAGCAGTATCGAGTATGAAATAAAGCTGAAGGTGAAAAATAGGCTGAGCAAAAGTTTATGCACCCTTTCAGTTGTGTTGATTTGAATACCTGTAGTCACTTAATGCTGATTGATTGCAACACAAAATTGATTTGGTAGGCTCAATGAACCTTAACACTGCAAACTCGCACGCAAATAATCATGAAAAAGTCTGTTTAAGGTAGCTAATTGCTAGCTTTACTTCTCCTTGATTCTCTACTTGAAAGTAACAACATGGGAACATCAAAAGAACTCTCTAATGGCCTAAAAACTAGGATAATTCATCAATATGAATTAGGAAAAGGATACAAAAAATGATCACAAAGGTTTAAGGTCTCTGTCTCCACAGTCAGAAATATAGTTCAAAAATGGAAGGCGATAGGAACAGTCCTTGTAAAGGAAAGATTTGGTAGACCGAGAAAAATATCTGAAAGGCTCCAAGAACATCTTGCTGCTGATAGTGACATTGTACATCGTTCCACAGTCCAGCGCACTTTGCACAAGGAACAGCTCAATGGAAGGGTGATGCAAAAAAAGACTTTTCTGCATACTGGCAACAAGACGACTCGTTTGAGGATTGCAAAGTCTTTGTTATCTTGGAACAATGTGTTGTCACAACAAGAGGCGCTTTGCATGGCGGAAAAAGAACAGCGTTCCAGGAGAAGAACCAGCTCCTTACTGTTAAATTTGGTAGAGAGTCCATCATGCTGTGGGGCTGTGTGGCAAGCACAGGTACTGGAAACCTTGTCAGAGTTGAGGGTCGCATGGATTCCACCCAATATCAGCAGATTCTCAAGGACAATGTTCAAGAATCAGTCAAGAGGTTGAGTTATGCCGAGGTTGTTTGTTTCAGCAGGACAATGACCCAGAGTATTGTTCCAAATCTACCAAAGAATTCATGCAGACACAGATACAATGTTCTAGAATGGCCATCCCAGTCCCCAGACTTGAACATCCCCGAAATGTCCGTGCTCAGCAGCCATCAAACCTAACTGAACTAGTAACATTTTGCAAGGAAGAATGGTTCAAAATACCTGCAGCCAGAATTCAGGGTTATTTCAGCAAAAGGTGGCTCTACTAAATATTGATGCCATTATTTAATTGGGTACCCAGATTTTTGCACCTGTGTGTTTTTGTTCTGATTCACATGGCATTGTTTCTGTTGATAAAATTTTAGAACTGAAATGTTACTGTTTCCATAAGGTATCAAATATATCCAAATGATGTTGCTGCTTCGAAAGCCCAGCTGATTTTGAATTAAAATTAGGATAATTATCAGGGGTGCCCAAACTTTTGCATAAAACTGTATAATTTCATCTCTCACTGTAAACTACCCATAAACCAACAGTCTATGGTTTTGGGAAAAACTAGAAAATTTCCATAAAAAAAAAAAACATTCAGCAGTTTCCCCCTAAATGTGTGTGTGTGTGTGTGTGTGTGTATATATATATATATATGATGTTCACTGACAAGCTACGCAAAATCGCGTTCATAATCGGCAATGAATCGCCTGCGATTTTGAACGCTATATTGCGTAGCTTGTCAGTGAACTACGGCTCTGTGTAGTAAATGCCACTCCATCTGAAAGCAAATGCTGGAGATTTACTACTAATCACGTAACCGGCTTTACTGACGAGATGCGCATGAAAATCGCATTCGATTATTTGCACAGCCCTATATATGTGTCCGTTTTAGTGGCACATCCATTCATTCTCATAGAGTTGGACATGCCTTTATGACTGTCTGTAGTGAGAATGAAATTATCTAAGTGCCCCTCAGACATCTGAGGACTAAGTTAACCTCCTCACCACTTCAAATTTAGTTATTGGCTAACCAAAGGCCTTACCCGTTAACTATTTAGTCCAATTTGAGTTAAAGTATCTCGCAAAAAAATTTGCTGAAAATGTACTCACTCTTGGGCCATCCAAAATATAGATGAGTTTGTTTCTTCAGGGAACAGATTTGGAGAAATTTAGCATTACGTAGTTTGCTCACCAATGGATCCTCTGCAGTGAATGGGTGCCGTCAGAATGAGAGTCCAAACAGTTGATAAAAACATCACAATAATCTACACGACTCCAGTCCATCAATTAACATCTTGTAAGTGAAAAGCTGTATTTGTCAGAAACAAATCCACCATTAAGACGTTTTAACGTTGGTTTTACAATTGTGATGCTTTTATCAGCTCTTTGAGCTCTTATTCTGACAGCATCTACATGTTGGATGGCCTGAAGGGGAGTACATTTTCACAGCTACATTTTATTTTTGGGTGAACTATTCCTTTAAACAAGCCAAACTGCAAACAAAAAATCAGTCAAATCAAACACTAATTTTCGACAAAAGAAAGATTCATTTCTTTCCATCCGAATAAGAGCCTGGGTTGGTCAGTAGATAAATAATTCAATAGTGATTACATGTAGAAATGTTTCTCTAGAAAAAAATATACATTAACAAAATGTAAAAAAAAATGTTTTCTTGTGCTCTGCCAAATGTTCTCGACAGTATCTTTGCACTGAAGGTTTGCTGAATGTTTGTCGAGATATAGAGAGGAAAAATTACACAAAGTCCTTAAAGGGAATGGTGAACAGCACAGTAGAATCCCATCTGAATCAATCTCAGATTACACTCAGAATGCAGTGTTCATTTATTAACTCAATTAGCCTTTGTTTAATGATTCCAAAGACTACAGATTCAGTAGAACCAAACAATAAAGCAGCCCTCCAGAGGACCATCTAATGAGAGAGTCCAAAGCTTTGGGTGACGATACTGTCTTGAAACATCACAGTTGACCTGGTAATAAGCTCATTGATGTCTTTCATTCTTGTGGTTTGTAACACACTGTGCTGTAACTATGGCTGTCCATTTTTAACTCTAACATTAGTAAAGCTAAGGTAACTGTACCATGTGTGTTAGTGTCCCATCTATCTAACAGGATCCCTCTCATGTAAGAAGGGCTTCATGCTCCACCACTGTGCTCTTGTGCTGATCCACCTGCCCAAGTTAAAGCAACAAATGGCAATAAACTAACTCCATGAAAAATGTCTCATTGCAATTTATTTGTTGTCTCAAAGTTACAGATGTCTTTATTTGCAAAATCCTACAAGTCTGTTAAAAAAAGAGCTTTGATAATATAACTAGCTAGCAGAATTTCATCTTTTTGACCATAGAAATCTCAGCATCTGCACCAAATTGCATATTTTTTTGCTCAGTTTGGGCCTCTGAATAAAACGGAAATATTTTTCCTCATCGACTATGAGCTCCATATTCATTCCTAGTACTATAAGAGCCTGATTTATCAAATGTGCTACTCATTTTTTTTTAAAGATTAAAAATGGATTATGTCATGTGTCAAACTTTACAGGGTTAAAGAGTCCAGAGTAGATCCATATTCATTAACAGTGGCTTTATAGCAGTGGTATTTGATGGACACTATAATAAGCATTGCAGTGCATATTTATAAGGGCTGTTCGAGTGAAGATCTTAGTCAAATCACATACTTTTTCCTGGTGGCGTAGTTCTTGTCTGCTTCAGTTTCAGACCTGTTCCCCGGGGTAGGCGGGAGGGCCAGTCATTGTTTTTTTTTTTTTTTTTTTTTTGCAAGAACACAAAGTAAAAACCTGATATAAGAAGAAGCTACATTTGGGAATGCATATAGAGAAAGAGCCCCTTTAACAGTACTATACGGTTCACTTGTTTATTTACGGGTTTGAAAATGACACAATATGGCATGACCGCCAAACTATTAAACTGAACTCCTGCCATTTCCAAATTCAGTATTAAATTCAGTACACATTCCAGACAAGCAGCGGAAAAACCCAGGGCGCTTAAACTGTAAAACAGCAAGAGTAATAGCAAGTGAACGGAGTTCAACCCGGTGACCTTTAGTGATGTTAAACGTTATCTGCGTGGTAAATTCAAAACTAACACGTGGCCCTCAAATGCGACATGAATATCATTTCAATACCTAGAGGACGAGAGATACAGTGCGCTGTGTTTTGAAACACAATATCAGCTGTGGATGCTTTACTGTTCCTGCCAAAGCAGCATTCTTGCCCACTGTAACAGCCCTGCCGAGCTCATATCAGATTATACCAACTCAGTGGCCTCAAACCAGACAGGACTGGAAAGAAGCGGTTTACTCGCTCTGCTCTACAATAGCCCTGAAAAAAAGTGAGCTATCCCACACCCAAGACGACAAAATAAAACAAAAATATCTTCATATAGCATGACGTGGGACAGTAAAACTAACAAACGAGGCTTGTCGATCGTAAACTGGAGGGATTTTCTTTCTTAAGTGCTTACTGGGTGTAGTGTCATGTACCCTGTAAATCAAACATCTAAAATTAACCAAGACATGCATCTGTACTGCAACCAAATCTCCATTTTCATAAGGAAAGACTGAAGGTTTCTCCCATGAGGCAAGAAAATTTAAAAAGTTAATAAAAAAATTATTGAAACCCAACAATTACCATATTGTTTTTCCAATTATCATAAGTTTTTCTTGATCCTTCCTTATAAACAAAGGGACACATTTATGAATCACAAGCTGAATGAATCTGTGTAAATGGTTTTTAAAATCACGCTTACGTAAACTGATGCGTTCAATTCAATGTGGCTATTTAAAAGAATAGGTCACCCAAAAATAAAAAAAACTTCTGAAAATGTACTCTCCCTCAGGCCATTCACTTGCTCATCAGTGGTTCCTCTGCAGTGAATGGGTGCCGTCAGAATGAGAGTCTGATAAAAACATCACAATAAACCACAAGTAATCCACACCACTCCAGTCCATCAGTTAACATCTTGTGACATGTAATGCTTGTTTGCAAGATGTGTGATGCGTTTTTAATATCAAGCTTACTTCAAATATGTTCTGATGAAGAAACAAATTAGTCTTGGATAGCCTGATAATGAGTCAATTTTCATCAAATTTTCATTTTTGGGTGAACTACTCCTTTAAGTAAGAATGATTTGTCCACAGAAATTCACTCTCCTTCTGTTGACACATCAAGAAATGTTAATACTCATTCTGATATTTTATAACCAAAACACTTTATAACACCAAAATTTAAACACCAAATGTTCTCAACAAAAATGGAAAGAAATTTTTTTTTACAGTGTGTGAAAACCCTACAGAGGCTTTAATGAATCGCGTGAAAGCGCATGAATGAAGAACGGAACCCTGTTCTTCCACAGCCAGAGAAGTGATGAGCTGCCCAGCTGAGCTGCTATCAGCCAATGAGGATGCAGGAAAGAGAGCAGGTGCATGATGGTTTTCGTTCAGTCTGACTTCTTGTCCTGTTGAGCGTCACATTTGGCCTGCGTTCAGAGACAGAGCAGAAAGAACGTCACCAACTGATTTGGCGAGTGATTTTAGGTGGCTGACATGACTTCGGGAAGTCTTAGCTGTGTCCTGCATGCTTTATACACTGTATATATATATAAAGCTGTATGGGATGACAGAATGGGCTTCACAGCGCTGTGATGTGCATGAAAGCAGAAAGCACCTTGTTGACCTTGTTGCTGTGTGCTGAGCGTGTAACATGCAATGAGTCACGGTCTCTTATGAGCTGCTTATTTATATGTAAACAAGAGAAGCCTGTCTATCTGACTCCCACCCTCTCTCTCACTTACACACACTTGAGAAGACTACCAGTCATAACGTTCATGCTTCCAGAGGACGACGACTGACAGGTGCACAGACCTCAGGGTAATAAAAGTACAGAAAAAAGTGAACAGAGAGAGAGTGAGGCAATCTCTTCTAGTATCATCAGCCACATGAGTTTCAATTAGAATTGCTGGAAATATCGGTTATCGGCAAAAATCCATGCCGATAGGGTTGCGTCCATTGCTGGAGCGGCTGAGAAGGGTCTGCTGTCATTATACAGTGCGAGAGCGGCCTCTAGTGGTTGAAATCACTGACAGCACATGCTATTTGTTTAGACACGTGATACTGCACGCTGAACAGAGCGGGAAACTTCAGACGCAGATTTAAATGCAGCCGACAGAAAATCCTGCCGCGCCATTCACATAGTTTTCCATTAAATTACATTATATTGGTCCCGAATCGTTGTTAATGTACATAATGAATTGTGTATTGTGCATTTTCAGCAAAACGTTTGTCTTTCTGTGGCTCTAATAAAGTCTGTGTGCTTCATTTATAGAGCTATAATATAGATCGCGCTTTCTCTTTCCGTTTGCTCCGTTTTTTAAACACCGAACTTCAAACTCATCTATGCCAAATTGTTCATTCTTGAAGTAAACTTGTGTCTGTTTGGTGATTAAATAAACTGTTTTAGACCGCTGCTCGAGTTGAACACAATGCGTCCGGAGTGTGTGTGATACTAGTGAGTTCTCCTAGACTTAGCGCTGCGCTTTTATTTTGATTAGATAATCATCAAGTGTTCAAGAATAGAAGCAGTTCAAGTGTGAGAGTATACATACAATATCCATATGTAATATCATTTTAATGCTATAGCCTTTGTGTATATATTTAAAGATGTGCATCTTTAAGCATGACAGTTGAAATGAAATGGTAACACTTTAAAATAGGAGACCATTTGTAGCATTAAGATTAATGAAAGCTGTGCAAGTATTGTTCCTTGTTAGAGTGTGTTAATTTCAACATTTACTATTATTTTTTATTTTTTTTTACTACTACTACTAGTAGTATGGTTCAGTACTGTTTTTGTTAATAAAGCACTATTTTAGTTTTTGTTCAGTATCAATTTTAAAACTATCGGTTAATTAATCGGTATCGGCCAATGTGGTCCAACCTAGCTATCGGTATCGGCAAAATCCACTATCGGTCGACCTCTAGTTTCAATATTGTGAGCTGATTTCTTTTAAGAGTAAACATAATTTGAACCAAACAGCAACTGTTGCAAAGTAAATTTAAAATAAAATATATTTAAAAGAACAATTAAACACTTTAAATAAAACAAAATAATAATACATAATCAAATTTATCAACATATCAAATTAATAAAAAAATAATCCTGCATGCTTAAACAAATACATTTAAATTAAAGTAAAATGGCATGTTAGAACTTCTATGTACACTTTTGAGTGAAGACGTAAGCTAACCAGTGAAATAGTTCATTGAGAAGAACGGATTTGCTGCATTGAATAAGACCTCAACTCGATTGGTACTTATGCATACGAGGCTTAGCATAAGAAATAGAATAAATGTTTAACCAGAGACTCGCCACATCTAAACTCACATACTTCAGATGCTACTGAAATCATTCATCTTTTATCAGGTCACTTCAGTTATTTGCAGACAGCGAGGCAGCTCACTAGGGTCAAGGAAAGATGTTAGCGGTGTGACACACGCGTGAGCTCTGACCTGCAGTCTGCCGTGTTCCTCCAGCAGACGGTCGTACTCCACTGTGAGGTTCTCAGCCTGCTTCTTCATGGCCTTCACATCGCTGTCTGACTTCTGAAGAGCTGCACAAGCAAACGAACAGTGTAAACAATAAGTCCTAGAAATACAGGAGTCACGAGATCTAAATGGCCTTTTCTGTAGGTCTACAAATTCACCAGGTTACAGTATCATCACAGAGTCAGACCTTTTGACTTTCAGTGGAATCTCTGGTTCACTTTGTGGCTTATTCTGTCCAAATACTGCTCACTTAGACCAGAAGAGACCATGCGATTGACACATACTACCAATCAAAAGATTTTTGGGGGAGTTGCTAAGTTGCTTTTTTCATGTTTTTAAAGAAGTCTCTTATTTATTTGATCTACAATACAGTAAAAACTGTTATATTGTGAAATATTATTACAATTTAAAATAACTGCTTTCTATTCCAATGTATTTTTAAAATGTAATTTATTCATGTGATGTCAAAGCTGAATTTTCAGCATCATTACTCCAGTCTTCAGTGTCACATGATCCTTCAGAAATCACTCTAATATACTGATTTGTTGCTCAAGAAACATTTCTTATTATTATCAATGTTGAAAACAGTTGTGCTGCTTAATATTTTTGTGGAAACTGTGATAAAAGCATTTATCAGGATTCTTTGATAAATCGAAAAGTAAAAAAAAAAACAGCATTTATTTGAAATATAATTATTTGTACAACGTAAAAGACTTTACGGTCACTTTTTATTCAATTTAGTGCATGCTCGATTAATAAAAGTATCAATTTGTTAAAAAAAAAATCTTACTGAACCCAAACTGTTGAAACTAAGTGTGTAACACTATTCATTTTATTTACAATGACATTTAAATGGCAGGTTGATCTGAAAACTATTAATAAAACAATAGCTGCATGCAAGCTCACTTACTGTTTTCTGCACTACCCTTAAAATGTGCTTTGGTACAAGATGACCCAATGGAGACCTCAGTTTGGGGGTCATCAAAGGGTCATGAACCCTATAAGCACTGTCTAAATACAGTAAACATGTGAAAGGAGGCGTGGGAATCGATCTTACTAAGCTTATTCTTTTGTAAGAAGTCTAGTTCTGCTGAGGTCATCTTGTGTTGCTCACTGTAGAGTCATCAAAGGAACCGAAGTTTTTTTTTTGATGTACTCTGAATCCATGTCTGACAACATTAAATAATGAAGCAAGAATGCATTAAACTGAATGCTGTTGAAGTTTAAAAGCAAATAATGCTTTTAAACTTTCTATTCATTAAAGAATCCTGAAAAACAATGTATCACAGTTTCCACAAAAATACTAAGCAGCATTGATTTCTGAAGGATCATGTGACACAAAAGAAATGGAGTAATGATGCTGAAAATGTAGCTTTGCCTCACAGGAACAAATTACATTTTAAAATATTAAATATATTCAAATAGAAAACAGTTATTTTAAATCATAATAATATTTGACAATATTACTGCATTTACTGTATATGCAAATACAAACTTTTGAACGGTAAATGTTCCAGTAAATGCTCCTGGTTTTATTGTGTGGCCAATTCATTAATGTATTATTGTTAATATTAGTCTGAAGAAAAAGTGTTAATTCTAATCATCTTTGATCAAAATATGGCTTTCACCACCTCTGAAATGACTTTTCTGTTGACACTTCCAATGCCATATTGCAGGGAAAAATATTAAACCAATAATATGCCATTTTGCATGATCCAATCAAATAATTACATTAATACTAATAAACTTCCCAAGTGAAAAAGTACTATATTTAAAATACATTTATTTCATTCTAAGTATAGTTCAAATCTATTAACATATAGTTTATATATATACAGTGGGGCAAAAAAGTATTTAGTCAGCCACCAATTGTGCAAGTTCTCCCACTTAAAAAGATGAGAGAGGCCTGTAATTTTCATCATAGGTATACCTCAACTATGACAGACAAAATGAGAAAAGAAAATCCAGAAAATCACATTGTAGGATTTTTAAAGAATTAATTGGTAAATTCCTCTGTAAAATAAGTATTTGGTCACCTACAAACAAGCAAGATTTCTGGCTCTCACAGACCTGTAACTTCTTCTTTAAGAGGCTCCTCTGTCCTCCACTCGTTACCTGTATTAATGGCATCTGTTTGAACTTGTTATCAGTATAAAAGACACCTGTCCACAACCTCAAACAGTCACACTCCAAACTCCACCATGGCCAAGACCAAAGAGCTGTCAAAAGACACCAGAAACAAAATTGTAGACCTGCACCAGGCTGGAAAGACTGAATCTGCAATAGGTAAGCACCTTGGTGTGAAGAAATCAACTGTGGGAGCAATTATTAGAAAATGGAAGACATACAAGACCACTGATAATCTCCCTCGATTGTATATATATATATATATATATATATATATATATATAAACATAATTAAACTTTATTACTACTGCTATTTCTTAATATTAAGCCTAAAATGTGTTTTAATGTCACTATTGATGAGGATTATATGATCTTTGAATAATATCAGTCTTTAAATGCAACAAGTTATATAAAGTGTATGTGAAGTATACTTGCAATAGTTTCACTTTAGCACAATCAAACATACTTCAGTACATATTTAGTTGGACTTCTGCCCTTCTGCACAAGTGAAGGAAGTTGTTCCAATTTAGCAGACTTTATACCAGTTTAGTATACCAAAAGTACAATTGCAGGGTATATTTATTAAGTACATCAACATGTAAATGTATTTGTAGTATACTTAGCATTTTACTATATAACTATATAATACATTTTACTATATTTATTTTTCACTAGGATTTATTAAAAAAATGTGTTTAATAGTCTTTTGGCCATTGATGTTCACCAAGAGATCCATAGACGTGCACACATTAGCGGAGTGATTCAGAGTCGTTTAGTACCTTTCTTAGTTGCGTCGAGTTCATCCTTCAGTTTCCTGACCTCTTCTGTCAGATTTTTCTTATCCTCCTCCACGCCACCCTTGGTCTTCCCACCCACCTCAGGCACTTCAACACCCGCTTCCCGCAGTTTCTGATGAAAAACAGTTAGTCATCTTTTTGTTAGTCATATCATGGGATAATCAGCTATTTCTCAAAAAAGTGTTGCTCTGAGTTCCCAGAGGATATTGAGAGGGTGTAAAATATCTGATAAATCACTTCATGTGTTAACAGAGTCATGTTCAAACTGGTTTAATTTTGTTATATATGTTACTGTGCACAATTTATTCTTGACTCAATCAATTCCCAATCCTTAAAATCAAGTTCCATTCTGCTTTTTCAAATATATCCAGTTCATTGTGTTTCAGAGGTGAAATGGGTTGCAAACAGTTACTTGGAAAGATGTTTTTAGCTAGAAAACTGGCAAAACATTTCACCGAAAACCTAAACCACTGTCCTGTAAGGACTCTCTTTACAATTTCACAGGCCATTCATTAACATAATAAAATACAGGGAAAAAAACAAGTGCTCTATTTTCCAGGGATTGCAATGATGTTAAAATTAGGTTTATCAATGTTCTCTGTGTAACCAGCTTAGAAGACCCAGTTAGTGAGTAACCATCAACAGTAGTCGTTCACATCTGACTGGCCCACTCATACAAACATAAAACATTCTCCAGAAAGATGATTTTAGCCTGTAGTCTCACTAAATACAAGAACACTACAGAATAAATGGTATGATCAACTCAAACAACATATGCAGTTAAATACAAAACTCATTTTATGATTCAGCTATTCAAAAGCTGCTTATCTATATGCACCACATGTGTACTTGCAAGTCCTGAGACCAAGATATCATGAATATTTGGTTTTCCCAGAAGAGAAAGAGTGGAAATGTTAAATGCACATATCAGCTAAAATTTTACTGGAAATCTAGTACTTTTACTAAACACAACAAAAGTGAAATTTGGATTTCATGGGGTCATTACTGAACAATAACTGTCTGAAACTTCAGTAGCAGTCAGCGCTAACTCAACAGTGTGCTCACAGACATCCTGTACTCTTCTTCTGCTTACAAATGAACACATGACCACATGAGGAATATTGCGGTAAAGCTGTCAAGGGTCATGAAAGTTTCTCATACGTGAAAGGAGTTCCACAAATCGTTAAAACCTGACCGAGTGAATATTTTCATGCTAAACAGCTCAAGGTACATGGCCCAAGGCACACAGGCATTTTTAAAAGAGCCTTTTCAAAGTCACCTGGACAAGAAAAACACAGGGGAGTGTTTTAGTTCTTGCCAAACAAAGGAAAGATGTTTTCTGGCCTCGGCGAACAACTAGATCTGGGTCAGATGTTTTGGATGATGGTTCCCGCAGATATATTAAAAGTAAGTTAAAATACAACTGAAGCACCAAGTTGAAAAGACTACTCTTAAATGGGACATAGAGGAGAGTGAAGATGATGCAAGCTGTGTCGCCCCTTAAATCTAGGAAACTGCATAATTTTTGTCATGTCCTCATACTTTATATTTAGAAACAAGGGTAAATCATATGCAGCTTCCTGTGAATGAAAGATGCACATTTCTTTGACAAGCTAGCACACTGAAATGCTGCTTTCATAATAAATTATATAGAAATTAATATAAATTAAATATATAACTGATAATCATAATTAAATAAAAATTAAATAAAGCTGAACAGAACATTTCATATTTCTCTGTAACCTTGATAGTTGGAACAGGCAGTAATAAAGTCTTAATTTCTACAGTCCTGTAGAATATTTTTGTAAAGCTACGTTTACTTATATTTCAAAAAAAAAATAATAATAATAAAATTGACTGCATCAGTATATATTCTGAATATGAATCCCTTCCCTGGTTAAAATATTTAGGAAAATCTGAATAATATGCAGTAAATTAAAACTGTGAAATGGCACAGTGCAACACAATTTTTTTAAATAACTAATTTATTTAATTTAATATTTTTTTATCTAAAACATTAATTGCTCAAGTATTCCCAAATGATTCAATTTATCCCTCTTTGACCAGTCATATTTCTATAGCTGTATGTTATAGATGCTTTCATCTAATTTTAGTTGATAACAGACCAAAATAGAAAGTACTGTGCCTTGCACCCCAGAATCATTTATATATACGTATGTGTCAGATAAAAGTCCAATAAAACAATAAAAATTCATAAATACAGTAACATTCATCACACTTAAAACAACATCAAGAAATTTTATTTTCCTGTTATTAATTGTTGCTGATGTAACAGTTATTATTAATAAATTTATATTTAATAATAATAATAATAATACCGCAGGGCTCTACAGTATGACCATTTCACATGCATTTGCGACCGAAGACTACTGCGTATGAAAAAATATTTAGGAGCACCAGTGCTACTGACCCGATCAGCATATGTGTGTTTGCGCTCAGGGGAGCATCAAAGGTTTCTACTTACAATGTGTTTTTGCAGCGTTGAGTAATGGATCACAGATTTCTGTTGATCCCTTGAGCACAATGTTAATCAGAATTAGGGATGCACGATATATCGGCCACCATATCGGTATCGGCCCATATCGGCTCATTTTTTCTGTTATCGGTATCGGCCTGATAAGAAAATTTGGCCGATATCTTAAAGCCGATAAATAATGCATTATTTCCTTCAGAGACACTTCAGATGCGCGCTGTTCGTTTGCAGCCTTTTGTGCAATTGTACATTGTAATATTGTGTTTATTTGATGTATATCTGATTTATCTCATATAGAATGCGTTGGGTTAAGTTAAAAGAGCGCTTCAGTTTACCAGTGATCATCTTTAGCTCAGCACACGCAGCCCAAACAGCAGTGCACAACATTAATAACTATGATTGGGAATGTCGTGTATATAACATTCTAATGAGAACATTATAATAATAAAACGTTGTGAATTCTTTTGGTTTAGTTGCCGTGTTTCAGCGCGTTGTTATGGGAAGAGCGCATCCACAACAGGATCACACATTCTGACTATAGCATGCAATAACTGCGTCATTTTGTACATATATAAGTTGTAATATTATGTTTATGTTGTATTAATATTAATCTCAGGATGCATTTCCTTGAGTTAAATAAGCTGCCAGCAAAACGCTTCAGTTTACCATGTTCATTCAGCTCTTCAGCTTCAGCACGCGCAGCTCAACGGCTGCTATTTAAAACAGTGGTATTAATTTGTTACTTTCAAAATCATTGATACATTATTAATAACAACAACCACTTGTATTGTTCTCTTATTATTTTCATCAACAGTATGGTTTAGTAATTAAAATCATTTAATTATTGTCCGTGCAGAGGCTATTCCGTTTTATTGATCTATGGCGCATTCATTTTGATTCTTTACACGTGTAATGATGTCCAGTGACTTGTTTGCATTATTTATGCATTATTTTATTTATTTGTAAGACTTTTTTATGACTAAATTTGGTAATGGGAGAGTAAAAATATTTTTAAAACGTACACCGTTCAAACTAGGCTGCTTATGTTGAAGTGTTTGGGATGTGGCTTTTAATGATGAGACCTTTTTTGTAATCAGGCTCTCAAAAAGTATATAACAATTTGGATATAGAGTTATCGGCCAACATATCGGTTATCGGTAAAGAATAATCGGTTATCGGTATCGGCCAAAATTTTCATATCGGTGCATCCCTAATCAGAATACACTCACTGCTCAAAACACTGGCGTTTTGTTCAGTGCCGATTTATGTAAGCTCACGAATCCTCTCATTATGACAAACAAAGTGTAGACAGGGTGTAAATAAGAGACTCATTGTGCAGTGTAGGGAGCTTCGTTGATTATAATGGAACTTTGTGAGATCGCGATGAACTAAGGAGAGTGGCAGCTTTTAACGATGATTAAGGGAGTTCACAAATGTGGTATTGATTTAATACAATAGCTAAATAAACAAGAAGTTAATATTAAGTGACTTTCATTGTCTGACTATAACACTATTGCCTGATTTTGCTCTATTTCATCAATGAAAATAGTTTCAAACAAAGTTACAGCTGAGCCGCTGCACATCTCCAAGCAAACACTTGGAGAAATTTATGAATGAACATGCGTTTTTAAACAAATCTAGTCAGTCAATGACTACATTTACATGGACATCAGTAATCTAATTATTTACCTTATTCTGAATAAGACAATATTACGATTAAGGTGTTTGCATGAGTTGCTTTTAGAATATCCCTTTCATGTACCTGTTTTACATGTTATAGTACATAGATTGATTAATGGCACACGTCACATCACACAAGTGCTCCTAAAAAGAAAAGTAAGCATAGAGCCCTGTAACAAGAACAACAAGAACAATAATAATAATAATTATTATTATTACTATTAATTAATTTATTATTATTAATACATTTATTTATTAATAAAGAAATAAACCAATATATAAATAAATAAATACCCTATGCAGACATATTGTAACATTCACAATGCAAATTTCCCGCGCGAGTTCATCCAGATCATTTATGGGAACAAATCAGCAAAAACATTAACGACGTCACAAACCACATGAACACCTACATTACGATATGTGGAGATTCGCCAGTCATAACAAAGATCATTTATCTATACAGTAAAGCCTTAATGGTACAAGTAGCAATAACAGCCTGCTAAATTCCCACAGAAAGGGTGAAAATGGTAAAAATGAACTAAAATAAAACCTTGTTTAACAATATAAGTGGACTTGCTAAAACGTAAAATGCTCAAAGAATGGAAAACGACCCATTCCAACCATCAAGCCCTCACAAAAACTATCAGTGCTTAAATACCAAAGGATCAGTCTTAGCTAATTGCATTATGAATTATTAAAAAACTATTTCACATAACTAATAGCTGCAATAGAACTAGATTTTATGAAGCAGAGCCGTGCAAAATTCATGATCTTATTCACATTCAATTCTGAGAGCGCTCCAATAACTGCTTGGGGACCAATGATGGAGAACGATCAACAGAGATGAGAGATCAATACAGGCCCTGTAAGGGGTCATGTGCCGTTCTCGCCTCATCCCCTCACAGTACAGCTCCGTTAGCATCTATACATGGATTATGCATTCAAGTCTATCAA